TTCCTCAGAAGCTTTTCTCATCAAATATTTCAAAAATTATTTTATTCTAGTTTATTTTTAAAACGAATAAAATTCTGAATTTTATCACCCAAATACTCAAGAAAACGAGCTGACGGACACAACATGAGATGACGGATAAAATGATCGATTAATGTCAATAATGAATCTAATGAAGATTATGATGCCAATGAAAATCAACATATAAAAATATCTCATACAGATGGACTAAAGGCTATCGAAAGTGCTATAGAACAAAAAGAGGCGACACCAGCATTCATGTTGTCCAAAAAAAAATGTGAAACGTTGCTGCAGAAAAGCGTCTAAGTAATATAAAACAAAAAACGATCAAGGACTTTTTTTAAAATAAAAACTCTTTCGTTCTCTTAAAGTATGCTCCTCGAACGATTCCAAGTAAGCTTTTTAATTATAATATGGATGGTAAGTGTTGTACTCTTTGAAATTTTATATTTGCTAAACATATTACATTTATACACAGTCTTTCCATCTTTATACTTTTCGCTTTAACAGAGTGAGTCCACATTAACTCGGATAATCGGGACTGTTAAAAACTCACCTCTACTTCTTGCATTTTCAGAGCGTTTGAAATTTGCAGCGTCTTTTGGCCCTCAGGATAGGAAAATTTTACATTTAAGCTGGAAAATGCTGGTATGAGTGGAGATATCTCACTTAATGCATGGAGGGCAACAACTGTATCCTAAAAAGAAAAAAAACCTTTTTGACGTCAAGAATTATAATTGAATCAAGCATTTGGACTTTTTGTTAGAACTAACTGGCACTTGGGTTACATGGTGACAAAAACCTCCCATGGCTAGCCTTTTGGCAAGGATTATTCTCTAATTCGTCTACAGTGAAACCTCGGCTCATCGAACATTCTTGGGACCGAAAAAATAGTCCGCTTATGAGAGTTGTCCGTTTACGGGAAGGGTACCCTAATAACGAAGTTTAACACCGTAATTTTTTTAAAAATATATTCAAGGACATAGAAATAATTAAATAATGTACAATAATTATCTACAAGGATATTTATTTAAACTTTAAAAAATATTTTTTTTCCATACAAAAAGGAATATGTGAAAAAGTTTGATATAAATACATAATTCAAAATATAGTTACAGATAAAACAATGTAATTTTCGTGTCAACACAGATATTCAAGTTAGTCATAGCATATCAAATAGCGCAGAAGAAACATTTAGAGCATATAAGACGTCATTTCATATTTAAGGGTCTCATAACCTGTGTCATTCAAATGGAAGAAAAATCAAAAGATGCCCGAATTATTTCCCATTTTCTCTTTGCATAAATAAGGTAAGGTGATAGGATAGAGATTAATTCTTAATTAATTAGGTATCTTAGCAATATTTTTAATTATGGATAAGGCAAAAAATTTACCTGCATTAAAAATGGGGAAAAGTTGCATAGTTTTTTTTTTTTTCAAATTTAGAAAAAGTAGTGTACAGTTTGAAGAGATAGAAAATAATGTTTCAAGACAAACATGACTGTCCGTGTTCAGTTACGGGAACGTCCCCATTGCGAAAATGTGCATAATGGTTTATTCATAGAAGAGTCACAGGGATTTAAAAAATATGTCTGTATTAAGAGACATCCATTTTGAAGGAATGTCCATAACAGGAGATTTCACTGTACTACCGAAAACCAGAAATGGTAAAAGTCAAAAATTTTTCTATAAAAAATCGGATTTGATTTAAATAGGATTTATTTTATTTAAATCATACTTTTTGATTTTTTTTAAATATTAATCAGCCAAATCATCTGATAAAATGTGTCAACAGTATTTAATATAATTTAAAAACAATAATATAGCTAAAATATTTGATATTTCCAACTAGAATATTTCATATTTTAATACGCAATTATTACAAACAAATCACTGAATAAATAAAATCATGGTCACTTTTCATTAAAACTGAACATCCTAAAATTTTAAACACGGGGAGACAATTTGTCAGATCAAAGGAAGAGTAAATTAGTTTAGATCAAAATAAAGTCCTTTGTTTCGCTGGGCAGAACAAGTTTGTGCTTATTCAATATTGGAAAACACTAATTACTAGGATAGGGAGAATGTCAAGAATTTGGCATTGCAATGTATCGTCACGCTAACATCGCTATATTTTGATGCAACAATGTTTCGGTACATTAATGTTTTACATTTAGTACTGCATAAATTCACAATTAGTAAGTTGCATATTTTTTTTATAATTATTACTTAATATTTAAAGACAAACATATCTTCAAAATAGCTGTTAAAAAATATTAAATGGCTGGATTGATTGTAAAAAAAAAACTGGATTTGCACACTCACAGTCAAAAGAAAACCCTTTCATAACTTTCGTGCCCTTCGCGCACTTGCAGGCAACGATGTACTATCGGGAACAATGCTCAACATCAATGTCGACGATACATCGAGAAATATTGCATACATTTCAGTAAATCACACTTTCCGATGCAAATAAAAATTGCTGATCGAAATATCGGATTGGCGACGATTGCAGATAATAGATATTTTACAATTCATCAATTTATCACCGAGTCCTACAAACTACATCTATAATCTGTTTTAAAAGCACATAAAACAGTCAAATTAATATAAAATTAAATAGGCATCATTGAAATTTTATTACTAGCAACTTATTTCACATGCAGCTCATGGAAAGCAGTTTAACCCAGCAGTTTAACCATGTTAACCCAGTCTACTACTGAGGATATTTTACAACAGCACAGTGACAGCCATTGCTGGGATTCAAGAATAATTTGTGGCAAAACATACATTTAAAAAAAATTAAGCTATTAGTTCGAAAGATGCAAAAAAGTAAACTTGTATTAAATTATGTCAAGCCTTATAGGCTAAAAGAAAAGTTTTTCAAATGAGAATATAATATAGAAAGATAAATGCTTTATCAAAATACAGGGTAATTCAAAATGAATAGAACAAACAGCTATAATTATTTCATTAAAAAATAATTTATCCATAAGCTTAAAGTAGAATGTAGATGGAACATCAACACTAAGTGGAGCGGCGACATTGTCGCAGAATGTTAAAGAGTTCATGCACAAAGAATTTCCCCTTAGAAAGAAAAAAATTTTAGTTCTCTTTTCTGCAAAAATTTTCAAAAGTTTTTCTCTAAAATTATATTTATGAGATGCCTTTTTCGCACACAAGAGGGGAAAGAAATGTTCTTAATTTTCAATTCTCATTTGAGAAGAATGAAAAATAAAGAATATTGAAGCAAAAAATTTCTTTTCTGCAGAATTGTTTGAAAGATTTTTTTCTCTCCACAATTATAAACAAGAGATATCTTTTTCAAGCATGAAAATGAAAAGAAAAGCTCGTGATTTTTTTATTCCCTTTGGGGGAAAAATAAAAAAAAATGTGGTTTTCTTTTCATTCAATGATTTTATGATTTTTAATACTTTTTTTTAATGTAATGATGATTTACGAAATGCAAAAGAAGAAATAATGAGTGTGTATCCCTCTTACGAAATGTGAGAATATCGCCCATGATATTAGAATAAAAAAATATTACATATTTTTTTTTTTAAAAATATACACACAATTTTATCTTGTCCAAATAAGCTTTTCTTTGTAAATACAACTGTTACTTTAAAGTAACATGTATATTAGTTATTATTAAAAGTATCTTGTAGAAAGATATCAGTGCTAGAGAGGCAGCAGAGGGAGAGTGTGTTGATTAGTGTAAATGGAGAGTGCAGTCTACAATTGTCATTCTGTTGTGCAGAGAAGGCAGCATTACAATCACAAGAACATCCAATGGAACGCATAGGATGTTTGTGCAAAGGGAAGAGTGTGGTGAAATGGACTACCGCCCAGATGACCGATCCCTGTGACTGAGGGAAGTCTCATAGATAATCTGTGACTTGTGATCCTATTACATTCTGTTTAAATTTTATTGATACATTAAGCCGTTCGTAATCGCTATATACATTTGGGCCTTCCTCAGAAGCTTTTCTCATTCTGCCCTTCGCCCAGCAATTGTTTTCCAGTTCTTTACTTTTAGGATGGCAAAATCCTCATCTACACAGTCCTTACATCTCTTTTTGGGTCTTCCTCTTGGCCTTTTATTGGAGGGGGTTGCATTAGAGACTCTCAATGCTGTTCGTTCTGGGCTCATTCTCACTACATGCCCGGCCCATCTCATTCTACTTAATTTAATAGATTTAATGATATCATCGCCATCAAAGATCCTATATATTTCAAAATTATATCTTTTCCTACAGTTGTCTTTATCGAGTATAGGGCCAAAGATGGTTCGTAGGACCTTCCTTTCGAAGGTTGCTAATAACTTTTCTTCCCTTTTTGTTAAAGTCCATGTCTCTGAAGCATAAGTCAAAACTGACTTGATTAATACCTTATGAAGTAAGATCTTAATCTTTCTTTTTATTAAGTGAGATTTCAATAATGATCTTAAACCATAGAAGCAGCGATTGGCTGCGATTATTCTTTTTCTAATTTCAGGATTGATGTCATTTTGATAGTTTATTTCTGATCCTAGATAGGTAAAATTTTTTACAGATTCAAATTTAAAAGAATCTATTTTAAACAATTTAGGGATGGTTTCTTTAAAGCTAAGTTATAGTGAACCGAAATTTTGGTCCCTTGAAGGTTCACTGTATTTCAAAAAAAAAAAACATTTCAATGTAGAAATAAAAGTGCTGATTAAAAATAATATTTACCTGTGTTGAAGAAAAACCACCATTTTTATTTTGTTTTGATATGAGCCATTTCAAAACAGGCACTGAACCTGTTGGGTCTGATTTGAGAGCAAAGGTTCGAATGGCGTAGGCGGCTGTTTCGATGTCAATGGAGGCTGCCAGAAACCAATAATCAGATTGCTTGTCAGTCATATTCACTTGAGCTTCTTTGTTATCCCAGAACATCATATCGTCTGACAAGAATTAAAAACATTTGAGGATACTTTGAATTTATAGAGGAAGATAACCTTCAACAACAACAAATAAAGAAAACGTTTCAAATTTCCAAATCAAACAATAAAATTTGTAGCTTATTGCTTTACTGAAAGTAAATGCATATAATACAGAGCTGACACTTTATCTGGAAAAAAAAATTTCCTGTACAAGGTGAGTAGAGCCAAATCTTCTTTCAACATAAACACCTTTTAAGTATTCTTTAAGCACTCAAAAATATTTTTAAGCACTTTATACATTACAAAATGCAAAATAATTTTCAAAGACTTTACATGATCATGATAAAACAACTAGTTTCNGGTAAAGAACTCTTTTTCTAGATTTTATTAGCCATTATTAAATGATCAAAAAATTTTTTGGTTCGATATCAGAGAGGGAAATATGAAGTCTGAAATTGAGAATATCTTGGAAAATGCAGCAGAGTTGCACATCAGAGTTCAATAATCCAACCGGACCCAGCTCAGTAGACGCACATGCGGATTCGCAAATATTTCATCAAACATGTCAAATGATTGCCGCTTTCATATGCTACGGACAGAGGGTACGGCGAAATAGATTGTGGTCGAAAGAATTGAGAAAACGTTGAATCGTTGAACAATGTGAAAAGCAGGCCTTCGCATAATATGTGACAAAAATTAACATGGTAAAAAAAAACTCATTTTCAAAAAGGGAAAATTAAGCACTTTTTAAAAACACCTGATGAAAAAAGCACTGCTAAGGGCTTTTAAAAAACAAAAATCGAAAATAAGCACCTTTAAACATTTTCTAAAAACGCTCCGCACCATGGATATTTAGCTGGAAAAGAAGGTATTGAAGACGTAAGAAGAATATTTACAAAAATCATTCATAAACAAAATACTACTGCAAAGGTTTGCTCAAATGAAAGTTATTTAAAATCAAAGTTCCATTGTTTTTGATACAGCTAAAAAAAAAAGGTTCAAGGTAAACTGAGTAGGCTTTAATGCTATCTCTCATGAAATTTGTTAACAAATTATTTCATAATTTTTATATGAATGCGGAAAATAAGCAAACCTTAGTTTATTAAACAAATTCATGCTAGTAATGTTAAACATCAACATTTCTTTAGTTACTATCTAAAAAAGAAAAAATGCAAGCGTAAAATTTTGAAAACCCGCTTCACATCTCAAAATAAAGAGATAATTTTTTCTCACTCTAGCTAATAGCTGTATTTACTTATAATTCAATTTGAAATTCATAGATTATTAACACAAAGAACTAATCATAAACATGAATTTGTTGTTTGTTTAAATTAACTTGCAAATAACTGGGAACTGCAATGTAAAAAAATAATTTTTACATATAATTGAAAAAAATGAATCCACCTGAATTAAATATAAGTATTTACCTCTTCTTTCAGCCATATTGAGGAGCAGCTGAAAGGCCCTGTCCTTCGAAGAGCTACCCAATAAATGCAGAGCATATGAAATCATAGAAATGACATAAGGGCTAGAACTTGACAGAAGTTCTCTTTCAATATAATTCTGGCCTAAAGCAATTTGCCTGTTGTATTTTGATTGAGCCTAGGATACAAACATTTCAATTATTAGCTTCTACCAAACCCTCATACGTCGGAGCAGCAAAATGAAGTTCATTTTTACAAATTATCATTTAGGTGAGGGAAGAGTAGATATCGACTTCATCTATGAAAAGGTACTCCAACATAGAATCGAGTTAACATGTCTTATATTCTAGTGAATTCTATTTTTGTAGTGGTAGATACACTACATTTTGAATTCTATATATTGTTAACAAAGTGTTTTATAACAATTTATTTTCAAAAGTTTCTTTTTAACACAAATAATAAATCAGTTAAAAACTGAAGAGAGACGCATCCTTCAAAACTGAAAACACTATCTGAATATCCATTCTAAAGCATATCAAATCTTCTTGATATTGAATAACCTTTTCAATAAGCAACTTTTATAAGAAACAGTATTATATAGTCATGAATAATTTTATTATTATCATTATTAATGATAATCATATTGTTATCATTTGAAATTACAGTAGAGAACCATTTATCCGGCATCCAGATAACCGGGAAACCAGAAAACCGGGAAAAATTTTGATTGGTTTCCCGAAACCAATTCGCCAAAAATTTCGAATTGGTTTTTTCGATTGGTTTTTAAACTAGAACAATTATGAAAAAAAGCGGAAATGAACCCATCCTTGAAGTTGAGTAGAGGAAAATCTAAGGAAGGGGAGAATTTTTTTTCCCCGTTTACCCAGAGAAACGTCATTTCCTCCGTGACCTTGAAGGCAGGGAAGGGAGGAATGTTTTATTTTTTCCTTCAGGCCGTCAATCAAGCTGAAGGGTGTGGCATGCTGATTTCGTTTTCTGTTTAATTTACGAGGGGGGTGGGGGAAATGCATTGCATGCATATCAGTGAACAGAAGATGAAAGGGAAAAATATATTTATCTATTTGACATCGATTAATAAAAATAAAATCTTTTTCTTCTGAATAAATTCAAGTGCGGTATCATTTGCAAGTTTTTATTGATGTGGAATCACATCTGCTGTAATTAAATATCGTGTTTTTATCAACAAAAAAATAAATAAATAAAAGGAGAATAGTTTATTAATTTAAACATAGGATTATTTTATGAAGCAGATTGCAGTTTTGTTTTTCTGATTCCACTACGTTTGATTTTTTTTTCTTTTCACGATAAATTTCGCAGTCGATAAATTAATTCTTTTTATTCATAAATTTTAGCCTTAGGTTTTTTTTTTTTAAATTATGCTGATCTCGCCTTGTTCCGGGTTTCAATATTTATGCTAGTGCCTTTTTTAAGTATCGTTTCGGTTCGATAATTTTCAAGTGTTTTTATTTAAATTAATAAGTTTTCCTTTTATTTTATCGTTTCCCCCATATAATTAGGTATGAAATATATTGCGTTATTTAACCATTGGTTTTGTTTATATTAGTTAATTTAGGGATTGTAATTATTTTTAAAAAATAAATACGAGAATTTTGTATTTTTTAATCTTGTTTTTCTTGTCTAAACTTGCAAATTTTTTTTATTCTTTTAAATGTTATTTTTCTACTATTTTTTTTTTCTTTTTAAAGTTCTTTTCTTTTCTTATGTTCTTTCTTTTTTCTCTTACTTTATGCATTACACTTTTTCCTTGTAATTCGGGTTCGATAAAACATCAATTAACGACACTTTTTGGGCGATCCAGACATCCGGGATAGCGATGGTCCCGAGCATCCCGGATAATTGGTTCTCTACTGTACAGTGAACAGCAAACAAATTATTAAAAATTTTGCTTGGAAGTGGCATTTCTTTTGAATAAATATTAGGTAACTCTATGACGTACCTTCTTTTTTTCCACTATTAACAAGTGAAAGACTTAAAATTTTGCTGGTAACAGGAAAAATAGTTAATTTGTTACTTAGTTGGTTCCTGATAACCGATCTTCTACATTTGAGATTTTCAAATCCGTGACTTCCCATGAATAATTCCAAGAGGCTTAACGAAGTTACAATTTTCTTCAACAAAAACACAACAATAAATTTAAAAAAACATTATAATAACATTAACTGGAATGATAGGTATAATCAAAACTGTTATACTCTGCATCTTCATATTTATAGATTTTAAATTTAAAAAACAGTAAAAAAAAAAGAGTTGAAGCAAAAGATAGCTAAAAAGAAATACAAAAGAAAATTAATAAATACAGTCATATATATGTAGTTATTTAAACCTGTTTTATTTCTTCTTAAAAGTAAGTGCAATATAAAAAACCTAAACCAGAATTTTAAATTGATAAAATAAAATAAAAAATAAATAGATAAAAAAAATTCTGAAATCACAGAAATTTAAAAGACAATTTGCTCCAGAAAAGTTCTTTTCTTCATTTTTTGAAAGAACACCATAATTTTAAAGAACACGATAAAAACATTTTATATTTTAATAACATATGACTGTGACTGGGGATTTTGTTACAAATTCAGATATTCAGAACGCTGAAATTGGGAGGGGGGGGGTCAATTCCATTTGAAATATTAGATTTTTCAACAACCTAAATACATGACTTTCCATGATTTTTTTTTTTAAAAATAGCTAAAATCATGACATTTCATGACAAATTTTGTTCAATAACGAAAGCCATGACTTTCCAGGTGAGCAGATACCCTGGATTTATCAAGCAGCTGGTTCTGGATACCTGGCCAGGTAGTATGACATTTGTGCAAAACAATATAAGGATCTTATAATTTTCTAGGTAACAAATATTTTACAAGATGTAGTTTTAAGCAAATTTATTGCCCTCCTACTTTATAAATAAAAATAGGTATTTATCGTATTTTCTGGCAAAATGGTAGCATCACCGCACATCATTAAAAATGAAATTTTTAAAAAAAAGTTTTCATAAGCGACGAAGCGAAAGTTTTCATAAGGCACTACACTGCGCATATCAGCATCCTTATAGAAGAGACCCTTAAATTACCATTTAGAATATCAGTATAATAAAAAAAAAATTTCTACATTCCATAAAAGAGTTTTCATTTCTAAATTATGAAAAAAGAAAGTTTGAGAGAAAAGTTTGAGAAAAAAAAGTTGGAGAATCTCAAATTTTAGGAAAGTAAATTATTCATCTATTATAAAAAAAATAATTCAACCCTATTTAGCGGAACAATTGATGCTGCGACTGATTACAGAAATCGGTAAAACAATGTAAGAAGAAAAATAAAATAAAAATTTTAAGCTAAAAATTTATTCAAAGAAAAAAAAGATTCAAAAATTTATTACAGTAAACAATTTGATGAAAAACTAGTAATAACAATCTGGTTTAAAAAATCAGCTGATTTGTGATTTTAATCACAATTTAGCCGCTTTCCTGATTATCCAGAGATAGCTCAGGCTTAGCAGAATTTGTCAATATGTTTTGTTTCATCAAGTTTTTACTCGGCCGGAAGCAAAACAAAAAATAATCTACTGTGATTGGAAGTTAGTCAATTTTTATTTGGGACAATTGCTGTTTGTGGGACTCCAGACGTGTTTTGTACAATTGTATATACAATGGCTGATGAACTAATTTTACAACTGCTTTTCAAAATTCTTTTTACTGATGCCAGATAATAATAGCATAGAGATATAATGTTTACTTACTTTAGCTTCAAATAGAGCCATCAAAATGTAGGCAGTGAGGGCAGCTCCTTTTTCAGTACCACCCTTCAACATCAAAAAGAAAAGAAAAAAAGATTTAAAAAATTATGTTCATTAATTCCCATCATCATTTATTAATAAAATGGAAATTCTTATTTCAACATTTAATTGAAAATATGAGTATGATAGTTTATAGGCACAAAAAAGAGGGTTATAAAGCTAAAATTACTTTTACCAGACAATTTTGAAATGTTAAATATGGGTGCATAGTCAAATTTTTGAACAAAAAATAAACACCTCTGGAGCACTTCTCAAGCACACAAAAGATATTTGTAAACTCTTTATTTATTTATCTTTTAAAATGTAAGGAGATATTTCCGTATACAATTGCCAAGGTGCACAATAGATTTCAAACTTGCAACATCTTTTTTTTTTTAAATAAAAAAACATGTAGATGTTTGTCTGGGGGTTGTCTATAAGTTATACCTTTCAAGTAAGTCCCTTTCTGAGATGTTCTTTTTTTTTCACAGGCTGCTGCCTGAAAGTTGCCAAGACGTGGCGACACATTTTGCCACAGATCACGATATGAAAATCTCAAATGTAATTAGGATATGCGCACTAATAAAAAAATTTTTTTTCCTATTATTGAAATCTCATTATGAAATTTTAATAATAGGAAGATACATTTTATTAGAGCGCATATCCTTATAATTTTATTGCGGTTGAATGTTGCTATGAAAACATTGAATAAAATGGAGTGAAAATAACGCTTTTTACATAATTTGTAGCGGAAACTAAGAGGATAAAAAGACTAAATAATTTAAAACTAACAGTAACTGTAATTAGAAAACAAAATATATATGAAAATCAAAATTAATGGGGAAATAGTGGGATAAGCATAAACAATTGCCATACTTATAACTTTAATATAGATTTTTTTACAGTCCCTCTAAAAGGCCAAATGATTCTGAATCTTTATTTTTATATTACACTAAAAATGTGTCATCCTATCAAAAGCAATAAATTATTTTACTTTTGAAGTGTTGTTCAGTACTGATATATTTTTCATTTAACGGGAAGTATTAAAATGAAAAAGGGGCAATATTGATTTTTCTTTTTTAATGCAAAACATGAAGTAAATATTTTCTTGTTTGGGCTTACAAAATTAACATACATAGTTTTAAATGTTTTGTTTTCTTTAATCAGCATTTTATGATATTACGTAAGACCCAAGCGCTTGCTTCATATAAGTCTATTCACATTGAAACAAAGAGTGAGAAATTGACTTCTAGGGCACAACAATGTAACAATTTCTGCTAGCATGCTTTTGTATGTTATTAAGGGTATGAAATCATACTTTTCAACTAATAATTAATAGGTAGCCAACGATACGTCTTTCTTGATTGTTTTGGCTACAAATGTTTCGAATCAAACTGTTTTAAATGGTTCACACATAAACCAGATGAAGATCTATCAACAACTAAGCATTAACAATCACAAAAAATATTTAACTGTTGGAGATTAAAACTTTACTGAAAAGTTTACGCAAGGCATGCAGATAGAGATCAAATAAACACAAAAGTGTGAGCAGAAGACACATGAGCAGAGATCCAGTCCCATGTGCATTATAGATACAGTTAAACTTGGTGCTCTGATAAAATTAGCATTATCATTTTAATTTTCTATTAACTTATTTATTTTCTTAACACTTGAAAAACAGTTTTATAACATTATTTGTATTGCATATTAAGCATTCGAGTATGGGGTCTTGTATTTGAAACATGCTTTGAGATCATTTACTAGTCAGGGTGCATAGAGAAATCTTTCTACAAAAAATAAGCACCTTTTAAATACTTTTTAAGCACTCAAAAAATATTTTTACGCACTATATACATTAACAAAATGCAAAATAATCCTCAAAGACTTTAAATGGTCATGATAAAATAACTAGAATCAGACAAATAACTCATTTCTTGATTACATTAGACACTATAAAATGATAGAGAGATTTTTCGGTTCAATATCAGAGGGTGGAAAATGAACCCTGAATTAGAGAATATCTTGCAAAATGCAGCAGAGTTGCGCATGAGAGTGCAATAATCTCACAAGACCCAGATCAGTTGACGAAGTATTTCATCAAGCACGTAAAATGATTGGCGCTTTCGTACGCTACGGACCGACGGAAAGCCTAAATAAATTGCGGTTTAATGAATTGTGAAAACGTTGAATAGAACAATGTGAAAAGCACACTTTTGAATAATATGTGCCGAAAATTAACATGGTAAAGAAAAAAAATCTCCTTTTCAAAAAGGGAAAATTAAGCACATCCTGATTGTTATTGTAGTTCATTTACATCGCACTGGAAGCACATCCTGAAAACATCCAATGAAAAAAAACACCTTTAAGGGCTTTTAAAAAACGAAAATAAGCACCTTTAAGCACTATTGAAAAACACTATGCACCATGCTAGTGATTCAGCATTCATTATGAATGATTTAAGATTCTCGAGATAAACAGAAAGAAAAGGCACTCTCGTTTATTATCCTGCATCATTTGACCAGCTGCAGCTGGTTTTCGCTTTTTTTTAAAAACCAACATTTTGCTAAGCACATTGCTCCTTTTCGGAAAGAAAGTGCTTAAGAGCTCAAAAAATGTTGATTGTATATAATTTATGAAGATAAAGGAGATTTTTATGTGTGTTTTCTTAATTTCATGTCACAGCTCACTCCTTTGCATACTATGATGCTCAGAATTAATTTTGATTTTAGAAATATTACATACTCTAAAATAGGGATACCTCACAAGCATGCCTTTGTTTTTAAACACTCATATGCATGCAGGCAAATATTTAATCAATAATTAACATCAATCTATTAAATACTACCCACATTTTGAGAAATATCACCAAGATGTAGGATGAGGCAAAAAAAAAATAATTTATTTTTATGTAAATAGTAAGGTATAATAAGTACTCCATAAATGTTTATCTCTGCAAAAAATGCAATACAAGGCTCATACTTTTTAGACAAGACTAATAAAGGGTACATTAACCGCTTATCCCCAGTTAACTCGGTTAAGTATATATTGCAAAGATTTATTATCCAGAGATTAGCAGAATTTGTCAGTACGTTTTGTTTTATCACGTTTTTACTCCGCTGGAAGCAAAACAAATAACAATCTGTTGTGTTTGTCAAGTTATGCTGTTGAATAGTGGACGTGTTTTGTGCTATTTCATTATACGATGGTTGCTGAATTTACATAGAAAAAAAAAGGGTAAAATAATCATTTCACTGGTGTTTGGAAAGTACAGTAGGGAACCGATTATCCAGAACGATCGGGACCATCGCTATTCCGGATAACTGATTTTTCCGGTTTTCTGAATCGCTACAAAAAGCCGTTTTTTTTATTGTTAAACCCAACTAAAAAAAATAAATATTTGGAAATAATCTTGAAAAAACGAAGTAATACACTAATACTTATTTCAAAAATGACGGTAAGGTAAACATCTTTCAAAAAAGAAGGACAAATCCTAAAACCTTATGAGGAAAAAAACATTTTTTTTAAAAAAAATGGCGAGAAAAATTATGGAATTTCATTCCAGTTTTTAGTTTTCTGATTTCCGGATAACGTGTTCTGTACTGTATCACTTAGTGTTGTTCCTTGTTAAAAAAAACAATCATACAAAGACTAATATTTAAATTTTTCCCGTTTCCCCTTGATAACTCAGGATAGTAAACTGATGGTAAATTAAATATTTTTTATGCATAAAATTTAAATTTCAACTTAAAACTTGTGTATTAGATTTCTTTTTAGTTTCTTGTTGATGATTAATGAAATAAAAAAATATGCTGATTTTTCAACAAAACAAAAAAAAAGTGGTAAGGGAAGCTTTGGATTACCTGCAGAGCTTTATGATGAACTTCGCCAGGTTCATCAAATGAACCATCTGGAGCTTGTTTACTTATCATCCATTCTAAGGCCTTATTTAGAACTTCAGAATCAATAAAAATATATTTATTAGCTAAGGATAGTGCTCTTAAAGCATAAGCAGTCAACCTATTAAAAATACACAGAACGTTAAACATAAATAGGGATGATGTTTTCAAAATAAATGTTAACACTGCTCTTCTTCCAGTTAGAAAGTATACAACTGCTTACTACAGGCTTATTCAATGAGGCAATATTTTCAAACACATAATTTTTTTTTTTTTTGAATGAGAGATATAAATGATATAATTTCTGAGCTCAAATCTGCTGTATTTCATGAGATATTAAGTCATTCTGGTGAGTTTGAAGTGAAAATTTGTTTTGGTTATTTTGAAAAGTATTGTTAAAAAAGGTGACATGGTTGGCTAAATTTAGAAAGAACTCATTTTTTTGGCAGTTCTGATTTGGCCTCTATTTACTTCTTTATTACTGTTTGTTCTTGGTGCAAGCCGTGTACCATTATACGTTACTGTTAGCGTATTGTTCGAGCAGCAAGATTAAGTTCCTTTTAGAAATTATTACTTTTAGTCTGTTCAACGAGAACTGATAGTGAAAGTAAACAAAGCAGTGCGTTATTTGGCGCAATACCGTTGTCTGCTTGGCCTCGGAATAATGACAAATAGCGCCTATCAGTCAAGCAAAAACTCTTATTTCTAAGAGTTGTTAGTTTCGCTGCGGTGTCTCTTGCAAGTGTTTCATGAGCAATATGGAAAATAAAGTGATGGTTTTAAGACCTCCTAAAAAACGGCAGAAGAAATCTTACATAAGTAAAGCTGAGAAGGAAATAATATTGAACATTTATAAAACAAAAGAACATTCAAAACCAGATGTTCTAATCATTGATGTGATTAACCATGAGACTTCTGCATTCGGGAGTTAGCAGAGCTTCTGTTTTCAGAATTATTAAAGAATATAAAAGAGATGGTATATTACATTCACCGAAGAAGAGTAAATCTAGTAAAACATTTCTAGATGGCATTTCGACAAAAATGCTGTAAGAAGAAAAGTTCATGATTTTTTCCGTCGTAACGAAATTCCGACAATAAACAAAGTTCTCAAAGCTGTGAACGATGATTCTGATTTACCAAACTTTAAAAGAACGACATTTTATTCCCTTGTGGCGTAACTACCACTACGAAAATTAAACATCAATTCACTGGTATATAAGACATGCTAACTTGATTCAATCACAAGGTACATTTTGATAGATGAAGGTAGGCAGGGTCAATAACTCCGCCCCCATACCCTGTTAAAAAAAATTAGGCTTCAAACAACAATAATGAGGCAGGAACAGCTTACTCATTGAAAAATATTAAATAATTTTGTGGAGGCGAAGACATTTAATTACAATTAACAGAATGAGACAAGAAGGAAGAAAAATGTATTATATGGATGAGACATGGTTGAATGCTGGACATGCACAAGACAAAGTGTGGAATGATACGTCCATTATCTCGTAAAAACAGGCATTTTTATCTGGTCTGTTTACAGGATTAAAATTGCCTTCTGGCAAAAGTGAGAGATTTATTATTACACACATTGGTAGCAATGCAGGCTTTTTAAAAGAAGGACTTCTACTTTTTAAATAGAACAAAAACAAGGGTTACCATAAGGATATGAATGCAGAAGTTTCGAATAATGGTTCGAGAAAATTCTACCCTTTCTAGAGCTGAACTCTGTCATTGTGATGGACAATGCACCATATCACTCTCGTAAAGAAGAAGAAATTCCTAACACATCATCGTCAAAACAAGTAATTGCAGACTGGCTAAAATCTAAAAACATTGTTAATGATGAAGAAGGTATGCTAAAAACAGAACTACTGGATATAGTGAAGGCTCATAAGCACAGATTTGACAAATTCGCAGGGGGTGAACTTGTTAGACGCATAAATATAATGATTTTAAGGCTTCCCCCCTATCACGCGGAATTGAATCCAATTGAGCTGATTTGGGCACAAATGAAAAGTTCAGTGGCCAAAGAAAACAAAACTTTCAAGTTATCAAAAGTAGCAGGATTGTGCGTGAGAAGTTTAAAATGAAATTGGAGTTGAAAAGTGGAAAATTTGCATTGAGCCTACTCAGAAAATCGAAAAAGATGTTTGATTTGGACGAAGCCATCGAAAACACTGTTAATTCTCTAGTAATAAATATCACTTCCAAAGACGAGAAAAATAAAGGTAACAGTTTAAAAATATAAATTAATGCAGTTCCTTCAAATATATTTTTAAATCAATCGGTGAAACATAAAACTATTTTAAATATTACTTAACTTTTAATAAATTTTTAAAAAAATTTTAATTATGAAAATAAAGAGTATTTTAGTAACATATTCTTTCAATTCTATAGACTATTACAATTGAATTATAAAAGTTATGTCTTTCATAGATATTTATGCAAAATATATTAAAACTAATTTAATTTAAACTTAAAAAAAGATGCATTAAAACTATTCTCAAAATAAAATTATGTGTTTACTGAAATAATTAGAAGCGTATTTACATGTAAATATTTTAATTTTGTACTTTCTTATCTAATTTTAAGGTATCAAAAACCGAATACCGTTTTCGCTTTTCAATAAAAACGAAAGCTCGGTCGATTCGAACGAAATCACCCATTCATCGATTAAACCGTTCAAGTGGCAAACATTGGCGATCAAACAGCAACCCTTAGGTTTACTTCCACTATCAGTTATCGTTGAACAGACTATTGGTTTAAATTCTTACATCTTGAAATTACAGGTCTTTAAATGATGATTCTTCTTTTAAACAAAAATAATAAATCAGGTAATTATAAATACACCTATACAAGAAATACTACTCAGAGTCTATATATATATATATATATATATATATCTCTACACACACATTGAAGAAAACAAATCCAACACCTAGGAAAAATTATTGTAAAATAATGAAATTTCGGCAATGGGTTTGTCTAAATAACATATTTATTTGATTAAATTTACACAAGTTAAGATCACAAGTTAATGTAATTAAGAGAAAAACCATTTCACATGTGAAATAACATTAATAACCGGCGTAAGCACCAGAATTTTGATTGCAAGTATGTAAACGGGCATGCAATGTGTCATTTTGTGGGATGAAGTTCCTTGCCTATTGCACTTGGTGAATCAATACGTGGATAGTTAAGTCCTGTGTGTCTAGGCCGGAGATGNAATACTTATATATATATATATATATATAAGTTACAAAAATCAATTATATAAATAATTATTATATATGTTATAAAAGGTAACTACCATGTGCTTCCACTTCGATCACGTTCCCCAAATGTGCTAAAAGAGCCATCACTTCTCTTATATGTAAGCTGTCTTTGGTAACCTATATTGGTAATACATAGGTTTCAACACTAATTTAGTTGATTAATTTATATTTTTCCTTAGATCAAAAGCAATAATATATAAAAATTATGATCAAACTAAAAATTACAAAAAACTAAAAAGTATTAAAACTAATAAATAATTCAATTTTTGCATATTTTTAACAGCTTAAGCAATGCAGTATTGCAGACTTTTAGAACAATATAAAATAAGATCATGAATGCTTTTGATTTCAACAAAACTGTAGTTTTTTCGTCTTCTTTTCATTTTGACATTCTGTGCTATTTTTATAACTTAGTCTTGAGGAAAGAAGGGTAAAGATAATCCATCAGCCATAAATAGCTGTTACAAAGCTACAACACTTATAAAAATAGTATATTATTTACATAAAAACAATGCTTCATATGAGAGCAAATACTTTGAAAAACAGTGTCATAAGCCAGCAACCCTAGAATGAATATGAACCCTGTTTTTTTCATTGACCTTAACAAGACAAAGATGCTGACAGATTTGTTCAGAAAGCCATTCATCAACAGTCAAAATTTGCTATTAAATCTACAAATATATTAAGATTTAAGAAAATTATAAATTATGTTTGATTATTTTCGTAAAATACTTTTCTTTTAAAGAAAGTCAATAAAAACAAAGGTTAGATCTTAGTGATTTTATTTAAATATTTTATTTTATCCTAGTATATAAGACATTATTACCTTATGTATAACACATGTTAACTTGATTCTATGGTGGGGTACATTTTCATAAATGAAGGTTGACATTGTCGATAACAGCACTAATTTGAACACGACTACTTCAATGGATGGTCGACATTGAACAGTTGACTTGTTACATTGACATTATCCACCTCTTTGCACTGTTGTTACTCAGTCTCAATCAAACACAACGTCGTCCTGTATACACTCGACTGCTGATGGACACAGGAGCAATCATGACCATTAACTTAATACAGCTCTCAAGATCAGCAAAAAGTATGGTGATCTTAATACAGCTCTCCCGGATTCTCACGAAACAACTAGTGGTATCCTATTCAGCGAATTCTATCACAAATTAAAATTCTGGTATGGGAGTAGTGCAGTATATCTACCACTACAAAAATGCAATTCCAATTCACTACTATATAAGACATTTTAACTCAATTCTATGTTGGGGTATCTTTTCACAGATGAAGGTTGACATTGTCAATAACAACACTTCCCACGTTTACCTGAAGATCTTAACTCGCCAAGCTGGTGGTGAGAGTGATCTTGTAAATGTCTGCAGCAGAGTTACACACGAGAGTGAAATAATTTCATCGAACCCAGCTCAGTAGAAGCACATACGGACTCCCAAGTATTTCATCAAGCATGTCAAATGGATTGGCGCTTTCATACGCTATGGACTGACAGTATGCTGAAATGGAATGCGGTTGAATGAATCGACATGGTAAAGAATAAAAATCTCATTTTTGAAGAAGGAAAATTAAACACTTTTTAAAATCATCCCATGACAAAAGCACATTTAAGGGCTTTCAAATAACAAAAGTCGAAAATAAGCACCCTTAAGCATTTTTTAAAAACACTACACACCATGGACTACAGTTATTAGTTGACAGGTATTCAAAAAGCAGAATAATATTGAAATATGGAAACATGCCTACAGAATCTATCCTCTCTACAATGCAATTAAAAACATATAAGTATTAGCAGACCCTCCTCCTTATTTCTAGTAGCAATAAGAAAGGATAGTTGTGAATCAGATAGCATGCTTTACATTCCTTAACCCACTGGCGGTTGAGCTAATGGGAAAAATTGGGAGAATGTTTCTCACCTATTCCCCTATCTATTAACATGGTTTTGTTTTGTGGAGAAGACTGCTGGTTAAAAAGCGATTTTTTATGTGCAGAACTGATAAATTAAATACAGATAAGCGTTATTAGTTTCTACATAAATGCTTTTGTAACAAATAGTCAAAAAAGAGTTTTTTTTACAGTAGAATATATCAAAACAGAATTAAATAAAAATGAATCATAACAAATGTTTCATGGTTTATTATGTGGTTAGAGTTGTTTTCGACAATGTCAACCTTCATCTATGAAAGGTACCCCTACATAGAATCAAGTTAACATGTCTTATATACTAGAGAATTGCAATTATATTTTTGTAGTGGTAGTTACACTACAGTACTCCCCCACCAGAATTATAGCTGTGATAGAATTCAATGAACAGATACCATTAGTTGATTCATTGCTGTTTTACGAGAAGCCAGGAGAGCTGTATTAAGATCACCGTATTTTTTTTTATTGCTGATCGTGAGAGCTGTATTGAGTTCACGGCCGTGATCGTTCCTGCGTTGCCTTCAGCAGTTGAGTGTATATGTTGTACGTGATCGAGCCTGAGTAGCAACAGCGCGAGGAGGTGGATAATGTTGCAGTCACAAATAGCAAGTCAACTGTTATGTGTGGACCATCCATCGAAGTTGGTGTGTTCAAATTGTAGGGGACATTTTTTCCACGGTAGACATGTTCACATCAGGTCCAAAGGTCATCAATGAGGGAAGTGTTGTTATCGACTATGTCAACCTTCCTCCATGAAAAGGTGTCCCACCGTAGAATCGAGTTAACATGTCTTATATACTAAGGAATTGGAATTGTATTTTCGTACACACTACAACTTTTTGATATAGCCACAACTTGTGCAAGAAGAAATTTTGGAAAATGCTAGGATATTTACTTACCCAGTCTTAAATCACTTATCAGTTGATCTTTCTTATCTGATGTTAATCTATTTGACTGTGACAAGTAGTCAAGAATAATAATATGAGGTATGATTGTAATTAAGTTTTGCTCTCCACATCCAGTTGGCATATATAACAATTTGTTAATTGATTTCATACTGGGTGTCATTAAATCAGCTGGAAAAGAAGAAGTTCAGCTAAATGTAAAATTAATACTATACAATCACAAAATTATTATTATTATTTTTTTTTACCATTTTGTTATAGTTGCCCTGTGGCAGAATTTTTTTGAGTTATCTGCGACGAAACTCTCTAGCACTAAAATCTTCCTGCAAGATACTTTTAATAATAACAATGATATATGTTACCAATTTAAAATAACAAAAGCACTGTGATTATAAAAAGAACTATATACTTTTTTAAATTGAACATGGAATAATTTTTAATTCTAATATTATGGGTGATATTCTCGCACTTTGTTGGGGGGTAGGTGGAATTAATTGCTTTGCATTTATAAATAATCACCATAAAAAAATACTAAGAAATCATGAAATCCGTAGTAATAATTGGCAAAAAAAGATCGACGATGAAATCATGTGAATCGAACTCCTCAAATGCATGTTTCGTTTCGAGATTAGGTTGTTGTGATAAATAATATCATATAAAAAATATCGGATATAAAAACTACAGAGAATTCAATAGCAATAACTGCCGAAATACAATCGAAATATTACGATACTATTGGCATAAATTGAGCGTGTCAAAAAGTTATTATCTAAATGCATGATTCAAATATTACATGTAAATTTCTGTAGAAAAGAATTTTTTTTTTTTTACTTTACAAAAGAAAAATCTTTCTGTGAGAACTCAGTAACGTTCTGCTACAATGTCGCTGCGTTTCTGCCACAGGGGATGGTTGCATGAAGTAAAAATACTTTATATCTAATTGTAATATAACAATTAAAAAACAAACGTAATTTAAAATCCATTGAGTTTTTTTCATCAAAAAATGCTTCACCTTATTTTTATGAAACAGTAAAAGATGGGTTTTCTAAATATGTTTGTAGTAAACATACCAGTAGCTGCAAGTACAATTTTTCCAGAATCCCAAACAGCATTTCTAGGAATAAGGGTTGAGATGTTTTTGCTGAATGAAGCACTTGGACTTCGCAAATCAACAAAAAATGCTTTATTATAATGTTGTGCAGATCCCTCAGGCTAAAAATGAAAAATTCTAATAATTAGTTTTTGCCTATAATTAAATTCCACAAAAAAAACATTGCGATTTTCTTTTTCTTCTTTTAAATGAGAAAATGCATTGCAATAACTGTCTAAAGAACGATTAAAATATTGCATGGATTAACAAGAATAAAGACGCAAATCGAGCGTGTCAAAGAATAATTTCTTGAATCCGCGATTCAAATTTTGCATGCTGTAATAATATCGGTACGTTTAAAAAATTTACGAGAATATAAATAATAACAAAGCAATGAAAGCAAAAATTTGTAGCAATAATTGCTCGAAAAAAAGATTAAAAACACTACATATATTTATGATGGAATCAATGCGAGTTGTGTGTGAAAGAGTGATTCAAAATGTTCATGTGGTAAATGTTTTTTAAAAATATTGAATCAACTTTATTTCAACCAAATCAAAAAAAGAAAAGTAGGACATAATTTTGCTACAAATCTGAATTTCTAACAAAATCCCTACTCACAGTCAAATTTTATTAAAATGTAAAATATGGTGTACTTGAAAAAAAATATATATACAGTGTAACGTCCCATATCTGGACGTCCCCTTTCGGAAGGGTCGATTTCCAGGACACTTTTTAACAATCAAAATAAACAAACATATTGTCATCTTCCCTTCTCTTAAAAAAAAAAGTGACCGTTAGTGACACTCTTCCTCTAGAATGCAAGAAAAGAGGGAAATTTGTTTTCAAAAGTTCCCTCCCCCCTTCTTTCCCATGCAGCTGGCTAGTTGATGAGGCATTTCCTGAAACCTTTTTATTGTAGAAAAGGGTAAGCGGGGGGAACGTTAAAGTGGAGGGGAAGCCAAAATGGAAAATTTGATTAGGTATAAAAGGATATATGTCCTTGAGAAACATTCTTCTTCCCCTGACCATGTAATATTTAGGAGGCGGGGGGAAAAAATTCTTTCTTTAGCAATGACATGACTCTCTTCAAGAATCCCTTCTACTGAAATATGAATTTGACTAACAAAAGTCCCTTTATTCCTAACCAAGATCTAAATTAATCCCTTTTTTTCATGCAGTGCACCTGCAAATACATCACAAGAACAGGCGAATACCTTGGCGAAATAAGTCTTGCAAAAAACTCCATAACTCATTTCTCTTGCCATATATTTCATATTTAAAGTAATCCAATGTGTCACATTTGTTCGTTTTTACTGATCTAGATTTTGTGAGTTAAGAATTTGTGATTATCGACAGCTTGCTTTTCTTAAATTATTTTTATTAAGTTTTTTGACAAGTTATTGTTTTTCAAGTTTTTAACTATGTAATTTTTGTTAAGTTTTAATTGAGTTACTGTTATTCATGTTAAGTTTTTTCCTGGGTAGGGTTTATTCGATTATCAAAACAATCAAGATAAACAAATCTGTGAAGGGTCTGATTAAAAGATAAATTATTTTGTTAACGGACCCAAATTTGAAACAAACCCGATATATATATATATATATATCGCTAGTTTTAAGCTGTTACAACAGGAAAATTCATAATTGTAGCTGGAAATTCAAAGGATGATGTCTTTATACAAAATCCACTATATAAAATTAATGAGAATTTAAGGTGCTGCTATATCCAGTACCTGAACAAGGAGATATTTGGTAAGTGAGTCGCCAGATAAAGACGAGGCAGCAGAGACTCGAATTTCAATATGTCCCAATTTCTTGGGTATAATCAAAAATGAAACTGCAATGCCATCAGAGGGTGGTACCTGTAAGAAAAGGACAATAAATCCTAAATTAAAAAATGGTTACAAAGTGTCAAATATTATCTCTGATAGAATGAGAGAAAAAAGAAGAAATAAACAACCTCAAATAAAAGCAAGCATTTCATACTAACTTTACTAACTCACATTGATATAGTTTGTCTAAAGAAGGAACTCCCCTAGCCATTTGTCTGGACCCATGGCGGTGACTATGGTAAGGAGGTATAACTATTTCAAGTAGGGGCGTGGGGTCATTGTTTAGGACAGTTTTTTGCCTGAGTTGAAGAGAGAAAAGGAATCTTTATCTCCGGTCTATTGTGTTAGCCCTAGAGTTAAGAGAAGCTACCATAGAGTTGAAATAGTAAGTAGAGGAACCAAGCACGCTTTATTCCTTCCAAAAAGACACGCCACAGATAGCAAGCAAAGAGCTACAATCACGTGATGGAAAGAGTGCAATACTTGGCTCAGTATCACAAATGTTGGTGCACAAAACTTTTTAACCAGCTTTATTTCGATATTACCGATGCACAAATAATCGCAGCATTTGAAAGAGAGAAGGAAAAAAATTTATTTTCGTTAATCACATTTCTTTAATATTATTAAATGGGTTTTTAAAACATAAGGAGCTTTTTATTTTTAACAAATAAGTTTTAATTAAAGTACTGCCTTTATTAAAAAATTTAAGTAGTTCTAGTCTTTACTCTTAACACTATTCCTTAAAATTTATTCATTATATAAAAATAAAAAACAATATTCTGCACCACTTATATTTATTGCTATATTCAGAAAAAAAAATTTGTAAATGTTTTTATTACAAAGACCTAGTTAAAAAAAATTAACAATATATATTATAATAACTATTATTACATTTAACTACTGTTATTTTTTTAAAAAAATAATAATAATAACTTCGATACAAAATCATGATTTCATTTACACCCACCAGGGCTTAAAATGTGAATTTGAAAATGTAGCCTTTCTTTTTTAATGAAACATAGGTTCGTTTAAAAAATAAATTTAATCTTTACGTTTTAAAAGTTTTATCACTGTTACATAAAGCAAATTGTAAAATTAAACAGATTGTCTAAAACAAGTTCGATGCTTAGAAATAAAATAAAGAAATAAAAAGGTTGTTTTAATATGTAAAATATACGTTAATGTTGCAACACTTTTGTCATTTATATTTATGCTCACCAAGAGACTGCTCCAGAGGCAATATTAAATTTCGGGAAAAATAGCTTCGAGGAAAATAAAACCAGTTTTTAGTTGAATAGAATAGTCAGAAAACAATTTTTTAATAAAATTTAATTATGTTTAGAATTTTATTTATATATTGAATACCTTAAATTATTTATACAATAAAGATTATTTAGGTTATTAATTTATAAATTTAACTTCTTTTTTTTCTGACACTTAAAATTTATATTTTGAAATATACTACTGTTGCATTTTAACTTAATACTCAACAATTTGTCTAAATATGAAATAAAATATTTATTCTAATATAAAAGTTTTCAGCACCCAATAGAGAAAAATATAATATTAAAAGCATTAAACTAATAAAAGAAAATAATAAAAGAGTTTAATTAGAAATTTTACTTTGTATTTCATGTACAATCTAATTCCATAAATTACAAGGAAAATTGAATTGTACACACAAAGTGACTAGTAGAAAAGCTTTCGAAATTTAAAAAAAAAATACTTAAATAAAAGAGAAAACAATTAGAATCTTTACTTTGCACTAAATGTAGATTGAAACTAATAACGAACTTATAATTAAAAAACCTTACTTTTATTGTGATGGAAATTGTAATTTATGCAACTTTTTATGAGGTAAATTTATGCAACTATTATATGTCAATATATATTTAATAATTTTTATACAGAAAACCAGTAATTTAAAAAGTAACAGTTAAAAATATTTTATTTTACAAATAAAAAGACCTTAATCATTTTATAGACATTAAGAAAATTACAATGCCCCTCCATAAAAAAAGTAATTTTCTTAAAAATAGTAAACGCATTTAAAACTATATCTTTTAGTCAGCTAGCAAATAAAATATATACAATCTATACAAAGGTAAAAACAGTTGAAATTTTACAAGAAAGGTTTAGGATGTTAAATCACCACAGCCAGCTGTTAGCCTTGGCCGTCTGAACAGTTTATTCCATACCAATCCATCACATGCTAGTACACTGCACTAATTTACTCCTACACAAATTAACCACTTCTAAGTTAAGTTTTCTGAATTTGTTACATTAAATCAAACTAATTCTACACTTAAATATACTAGTAAAATAAAGTATTTCCAATATTTTTAAATAAAAAGAAGATAAACAAGTACTTAATGATTATATTAAATATACCTTAATTTATTTTCTAAATAGTACATAATTTGTATTCATTTTATGTATAGTAACAGAATTATATAATTTTATTAAAAATTAACACTAAAACTACTATACACTATTTTATATTTAAATACTAAAAATATTTCATAGAATTTAATTATTCATCAAACATATAAGAATATACAAATAATTTGTTTTTTAAGCATTCCTATGTAATTTAAAAAACAAAACTTATGAACCATACTTTTTATTTAAATATATATATTTATAGGAAACATTTCAGTACGAGATAAATATTGGACTTTAGTAATCAAGAGGTAAAGATATGCAAAATCTTCAGAATATATAGAAATGATATCGACATTTAAAGAGAACTAAAACAAAACCGAAAGTTTACTCAACTGTTCCTTGGCACTAAAGTGTCTCGCCAAGGAAGCCAACAAAGTTTTGCAGCTATTTCAGCTAAAAATAGAGTATATATTGAAATATACTTAAACATTATAAGTTTAAAGTTTAAGAAACAATAAAAACTTACGTTAAATGTAAAAAAAGTGAACAAAAACGAGCGTAATTGATTATTAAAGCAAATAAACCATGATTATCAGAGCATGACTGAGTATCGGGAAAATTTTAAAATAGAAAAAGCAAAAAAAAAAAACAAAAAAAATTCGCCTTTCTTGTAAAAAGTTATTAGACAGTCCCTATAAAACTTCTCCGTGCAGCAAAATGCTCAGGACTTTTGTACCATTCTTATTTCTAAATTAACAAGACAGACAGTTAATTGAATCAAACGATCGCAATGCTAAACGAATGGACGGGAATAGAAGCGGCCTCAGTCAACCGCAAATTTGGGCTGCAATCACGTGACTTCATCTTGTCCATGGATCGGGGGTTATTCTACTTTCTCTACCCCAATATTTCAATTCTATGGAAGCTACCCTCCTTGAAATGCTACTCTTGTTTCCATAGCAATAGATGGCCACAGACTTTGTGGGGGGAGGAGTTCTTACCACTGACAAACTATAGATATAACTTTTACAAGCAACTGACAAACCATGCTTCATCAACCCCTGATTCTATTCTAAATGAACTGAGATGAAAACCCACCAGGGTAAACCTGTTGGAAACTTACTCACACTCACTTCCCAGCCGACTCATGCAGAGAGACCTTCATTTTCTCTCATGCTAATCTGGATTATCATATTTTAAAATGTAAAGCTTTTAATTAGGTGAACTATCTATTTTATTGCACATTAAACTTTCTTGACTTTGAGTTTTGTTTTTCTTTATTTCCAGTTATTTGCTAAATGAATAATTTAATTCCTTTTTTTCTCATTAAATTTTGAAATATAACATGTGTTACTCTTAACTTTAATTATGAGTTACTCTCGTTACAAACAATTATTATTTTAATTACATAATTATATAGTAATAACACATTACTCTTGGCGAATGGACTGTGTAGGGGTCAGAAAACTGGTCTTGCATTCGAAAGGTTCAGGGTTCGAATCCCGGGCAAGGCATGGATGTTCCTTCATTCTCTGTACTATCTGTCCTTACTGTGGGAACAACGTTGGCCCACCTAATAGGGTGCCCTCATAAGAGTGGCCAAAAAATCTGCCTTTTAGAGGCCTGTATGATGAGAGGTCATTCTTCAGGTGGGCATTGGAAATAAAATAAAAAACTATTAACTTTAAGACATAAAAGTGTTATAAACTACAAATCATAAACATTAATAATGAATATTATTTTACTGAACTTGTAGTGATCATTTAAAATTTAATTTGGAATATTTTTAAAAGTAATTAGTTTTATTTTTAACTTTGTTTCCAGAATTAACTCTATTTCTCTTTAGTTCAAGAGTGTAAAATTAGAAAAAGGTTTTGAAATTTTTATATTATTTTCAAATTTCTAATAAGTGCAATCTATATAAGGTATTACTATTAACACAAAGTTAAAAGTTATATTATTTTAAAGTTATGCATACACATAAAAGTTTTATTTCAACTTCTAAATTTTAAAAAAAAAATTAAAAAAGATCCTGGAAAACAAAATGAATATGATGCGAATATAAATCAAAAAGAAAAGAATTTAGGATTGAAAAAAAAATGAGAATAGAATAGAGAAGAATAGTAGAGTAGAATTGAATAGTTTTATACAAAACTAATGATAGCTTACAGCCCCAGAGGCAGAATTTTTTCTGTGGCAAAACACTCTAGAACTAATATCTTTCTGCAAGATACTTTCAAAGATATACATTACTAATTTAAAGTAACAAAAACACATTGCTTACCCACCCCCAAAAAATAAAATTATTTTCATTGAAAATGTAATATTTTTTTTATTCTAATAGTATGGGTGATATTCTCCTGTTTTGTGAAACATTATCACATTAAAAAAACAATTAAAAATCATGAAATTCGCAGCATTAATTATCGAAAAACAGATAGACGACAGAATCACGCGAATCGGACTCTTCATAGAGAAATTACTCAAATGCGTGTTTCATTTCGAGATTTGATTGTTGTAATAAATAATATCGGATTTTAAAAACTAAATGAAAATCAAAAGCAAAAAAAAAAACAAAACAGAATTGTTGCCTTAAAAAGTAAATACTCAAATGCAAGATTTAAATTTCCCATATCGTCTGAAATATATCGGCATGATTAAAAACTACTTGAAAATCAATGACTGCCGAATATACAATCGTAACACTACGTGGATTTACGATACCATTGGTGTAAATTGAACGCAACAAAAAGTTATTATTTTAATGCGCAATTCAAATTTTACGTGTACTTTTCTGCAGAAAAAAATTCCCAAAAAAAATCTTTCTGCAAGAACTATGTAACGGTCTGCGACTCTGCCAAAGGGCTTACAGCTATTTCATTGATTGAATCATATACTCTCACTACACATTTACTATGTAGACCAATGCTATAATTTAAACTGTAAAATACCTTTTTAAAAAATAGTTAAAAGATAATATCAATAGATCTTAAATAGTTTATTTTTCTCAGCGTTATTCAAAGAAAAAAAGAAATTGATCATCCTTTAATATTTTGGTTATGCAAAGTTGGTAGCTTAAAGTGGATGAAGGCTACATTACTGAAGTTATCTGAAACCATGAGTTGATCATGAAAGCATTCTGGTACCAAAAATACTAATGGAAGTATTTAATAGTCTACTTATACTGCGGCAGCAGATTTTTAGGTCACTGAAAGGGACTTTCTATTGACATGCATTTGAGCAATATTGAAAAATAGAGCTAATTTTTGTTTTAATGGATGAAAACATGTTTTGCTTGATTAAATAACGTCACCAAGATGAGTAAATAAAAAAAATTATATTTGTCTTTTCATTTTAGGCATGATTTTAATAAATACCAATTAGGTGATTTTTTACCCAAAAACATGCATTCAGATAGGTACTAAAAAGATACTTAATAAATTTATAAAAAAAATGACAGTGATGCTCAGAATTATAAGACTCACCGAAATAATTTTAGATCGCCTCGATTGATGATCTAAATTGCTAGAATCTTGCCCAGCAAGTGTAAACTCAAATTCTCCTTTTTTATTCTCCATTGTAACTTCAGCCTGCAATTTACATTCATTTATAAACTACAGATAAAATAATATATGACAGTGTTTCCCAAAGTGTGGTACACATTCTTATACAAAATATCTTGTAGCAAACGAAAATTTCAAAATTTTATTAAAAACAAAGTCAGCCATGAAAATTTACGATAACGTATTTTTTGTTTGGCAATTTTTTGCACAGTTAACAGTTAATAATTAGTGGTGCCAGTTGTGATTTTTAACTTTTGTGCAATTTTTTTAGAGTAAAGGTTTGTAATAAATTCTACTTATTCTGATTATTTTTATAAAATATAATTTTTATCCCTAACATGGAATTTTTTTACCAAAATGTAAGAGTTTTTTTATGAAAAACTAAAAAAGAAAAGTAAACATATTTTTAAAAAAATATATTCATTTTTCAGTGTTATTTAAAATTTAGAAAGGATACACAAAAGTCATAAGTTTGGGAAACACTGATATATGATAAGTGGATCAACAACAACACTTACTTGTATAGTTCTACTATTAAAATTGAATACAATCACTTGAATAGCAAGATCTTCTCCCATTAACACGGAATAAGGAAGACTCATTCGTATGAAAAAAAGGCGATGAGCGGTAACCTTGGGGTGAGAATTTTTACAAATTAATTCGTGTTTAAAATAACAAGTCATTTCATTTTCACAGGGGTCTGTCTACCAATTTTGTGAAAATTTAGACATAATTTCTGAAAATTACAATAACAGTTACATTAAAAAATCAACATCAAAATATGGTGAAATAAATTTTCAAAAATTGTCAATACAAATAAAAATCATTTATGACTGGTAAATTTCTATATATTTTTATCCATATATTAAAAAATAATTTTGCTATTGTAAAATTTTGAGCTTAAAATTGTATCTAAATTTAAAAATCCATTGTCCTAAGTTAAATTTCAACTTACATTTAACAGTACTAGAACTAAAAGTTGTTTTCATTATGAGAAAATTTTTGATTAGGTTATACAGAAAAGAGTTTCATAGGGGGAAAAATGTAATAAAAAATTAAGGTCTGTTAGAATAAATTTCCAATAATGTTAAAGATAATGTTCGAATTTTGCATTCCTGTATAGTTTATAGAAAGACCTCGTTGTTTCATTTAAAAAATAAAAAAACTCCGAGACTTATAGTTTTTTTACGGCGATACAAAAACAAAATTTTAAGAGGCGGAGAATCTTAAAACTTACTTTTTTTAAAGTATTTTGGGAAACAACCGTTTTTTCTAATGTTGAATTTGTGAAGGTACCGCTAAACTGTACCGCTAAAAATTTGTCCTGGACAGACCCCTGTTTCAGCACACAATTTTAGAAATTAAATTTCCTTTCAGGTATTGCATTAAAATTTCTGGAAATATTTCCGCTATGCAGGGCAATATTTTATCACAAATATTACAAGATTTTTTCCTTACACAATAAGCAATATTTTAACATGTAGATTTCATAATATACATTTTAATATAGATAGTAATATTTTGCACAATAACTGGAAAAATTTTAAAACTCAATGAAACATTGTTTAGCTTATTAATAGGGTCAAAATAGTCTTGTGATTAAGAACCAAAATTAATTTATACAGAATGGTTCATTTTTAAACATCTAGTATTATTGAACTACAAATTTGGTTACATTAAAAAAGATATTGAAACGAGAAATAATTAAAGAGTATTTAACACAAATTAGAGTTTGAATTTTAATAAATCTAAAACAGTTTAATCATGTTGCAGTAGAATAATTGAAAGAGATAATAAAAAAAAATATTGAACATGGTGACTATCAGTTCTGAAATTAGTCATTTTCAAGGCCCACAGCAAGATTTCTGCAGATTTTGGCCAAAAATGCCATTATTTTTCTGACAAGATTTAGACTTTTTTTTTCTAAAAAAAAATAATAATAACTTTTATGTTTTTCATGATCTTGTGGGAACCTTTCTAATAAAATTCATTATTTTTACAGGGTTCTTCCTCAAATATGAAAAAAAAATTTTTTGCCTGTATACACAAGCTATTAGGAGGAAACATAATTACAGTCCTCTTGTGTGCGCTAACTATACTAGTTATAATTGCTAAAAAAATTTGGAGAAATAAAAAGAACAACTGAACATACTTAAATAATGTTATAGTAAATGAAATAGTTTAGTATAGCTGAAATATCCCATATATTATTATCCTTAAATATTCTGCTTTGAGTAATCACCATTTAATAAAAGACGAAAATAAGAAACAAAATTCCTTGTATTTTCCCTGTAGAGTGTAACACTGTTTTAGTTTCTGATAAGTTTTGAATAACTTAACCATTTTTTTTAAAAAAATATTTTCATTCCACTGATTCAAAAATTTTTACTTTTAGACAACATTTAAAAAGTATTACATAAAGGTTTTTTTTTTTATAAGGCATGTTAACTTGATTCTTGACATTGTCAATAACAACTCTCCCCACAACCTAAAATTAAAATTTTCATTGACAGGGAAAAATTATGTATTCCCATTTCACCTTAAAAAATTTACTGGTTAGAACTCTTTCGTAAAATTGTGTTAGTGCAATTTTTTTTACCAGTTCATATTTGTTAGCATTATATAAATTGCATTTATCAGAAATTGCCAGATTTTAATCATTGGAAATGGAAAAAAATATCAGAATTTAGGTAAGTTCCTTTCATTCTCTATGTATTGAAATAAAACTCATATTTTTGCATGTTGGCAAATAAAATAAGAAACTTCAAAAATCACACGTTTTAAAATTAGTGCCACACGGTTAAAACAAGGCTAATGCTAGAAGTGGTTTTATTCAATGTTTTCTTTTCACTATTGGTTTTATCCCACACCCTACTTGTATTTTGTAATAAAATCACATGAGAGGGGCAAATAAGGATAAGGGTCTTTAGGTCAGACTAGAAGATGAGCTGACCTTCTATTCCTCATCAAAGAAAAGTGTTAAAATGAAGAGGAAGAATCAAAATTTCTATCAATCAGCTAGCAGTTTCTTTTTTTTTCTTGCCATTTTTTTAGGAAATAATATTTTGAAAATAACTCCGAAATAACCAAAAACTTTTCAAGGACCTTATAGAAGAATTCAAGAACTTTTTGGGGCCCTGATTTTCTTCCAACAAAATTCAATACTGCGAGAACCCTGTTTCAACGTTAGGCAACAGTGTAGAATAAAAATCAAGGTTACTTAAATCAGAAAACGAAAAATGAACAAATAATTTTCAAATTATAAAATACCCTATTATTTTATTTGAAAAATTCTGCCTGATTCTTGACAGTTTTTTTTTTTAAATGATAAAGAAAACAATTATAGATTTCAAAAAAATTTAAAAACCTTAAATAATAGGGGGAATTAGTGATAATTTTTGGAGTTAATCAACAATGCTTTAATTAAATATTTGCAATATTTACAAACCAGAAAAATCTAAAGCAAAAACAAATTTAAATAGGCAGTAAAAATTCACTAGAAAACTCTGTTTTGATAGTGAGAGAGATTAATGCTTTTTATTTAATTCATTTGATTAAATATTTATTTCCATTATTACCTAAGATTTCGGCCCGGGATACATCCCTTACAAGAAGATCCAAAGACGTGCCATCAAAATTTTGATCCTCTGCTTCAGTAGCCTGACGACCTTCACGCAAAGTTCAGCACGTTATGGTAGAACAATTTAACAAGAATCCATATCACGCACCCTCGGTCCCTACGCAGGCTGATCATAGTGGGCACTGACCGAAGTCAGTGATGCTCGACTTCGGTGTTCTACTATGATCAGTTCACTGCGCGACATGAAACAAATGGTAGTTTGAAATGATTTTTCATTACCCATCTTATTTTTTTTATATCTGTTGTTGAATAGAGACCCAATTTTTGGGTTTACGACTACTAATGTTCAACTCCGTAGTCTTGTAATTTTGAACCCATCCAGAAGGCAAGGAAACTCTTGAATCAGTACCCCCCAGAGGAATTGATTTGTTATGGGAACATGGAGGAGTTTGCGACTCGACAGACATGCATCAGTCACCATTTACTAAACAGGGAGTCTTCGGTAGGCTGGGATCGAAGCCACGAACTCTTGGACATGGGCCCAGTGCCCTGCCAACCAGGCTATTCTGGCCCTACCCATCCTATTTATTAATTTATTGTAAACAGAGGCAACTCCATCAAGCAAATTATTCTGACTCAACTCACTTAGCATAAATTTAAAAAGCCTACTTTATTTTAACAATATAGTTCGGAAATGCTCGTTAAACTAAGTAAAAGTTTTTCACTTTTTTTTTGATGGCCTGTTGAAGTTTGAATTGAAATAACATAATGGACCATTTTAAAGCTATCTGGCCAAAAAAAAATTTTTTTTTTACTTTAGAGACTTAAAAACTATGGTTTCATTTTTAATGTGTTTATCAAAGAATAGATTTGTCTTATCATAGTTAAAGTAAATCATGTCACAAATTGATTTTATAGAATAACTTTTTATTATAAAAAAGTCAAGAAAGAGTTTCACACAATTTTGAAATTATCTAAACATTTTGGAAAATAATCATTTATTTTTAAATGAGCCATATTTTAGAAGTAGAAATAATGTTTAAAAAATGTCATTTTTGTCACTACTTATAATTAATTGCAGAAAGAATACCAAACTTTTATTTTTAACAGTTCTATTTAAAAATTTCATTGTAAGAGTAGAGTGAAAGCATAAAATTTATAAATTGTTCCCCAGCAGAATATTTTAGTTTTGACAGGGTATCTGCTATATTTTAGATTTTCAAATTCATGACTAATTCCAAGAATTTTTCATGACTTAACGAAGTAACTATTTTCTAAGACAAAAACACAATAAATTTAAAAAAGCTTTATAATAACAATAACAGAAGTTTAAGAGATAATTTGCTCTTTCTTTTTTGAAAGAACACCATAATTTTTAAAGAACGTGATGAAAACATTTTATAATTTAATATAAGACTTGAGTGGGGATTTTGTTACAAATTCAGATATTCAGAGCACCGTGAAATTGGGAGGGGGGATAAACTCCATTTTAAAAATTTGATTTTTCGGTGACCTAAATCCATAACTTTCCATGATTTTTTTTTAAAAAAAAAATAGTTAAAATTATGACACTTCATGACAAATTTTGTTCAATACTGAAATTCATGACTTTCCAGATGCGTAGAGACCCAGTTTTGATGAAGATTTGTCTTGCTCAAAAAGCAACAACATCAAGTAATACGTAGGAATTTTTATTTGAATATATTTTATAAGCGTCACATAAAAAAAAGAGACTCAAAAGTAATTAGGTGTCAAATGAGAGGCTATATTTCTAAATTGAGCAGGAGTAGTAGTAATACCTGAGCAGGAGTAGTAGTAATACCTAGTCCATCCACGGAATCAATAGCAAATGCAGTTATTACAAAAGATGTCAAATGATCAGGAACCAGATGTGTAATTGAAGCAATGCCATCACTTCTACAAAAATAAATAGTTCGTTAAAAACCAGATGGTACAGATGGTTGACCGTATAAAGCAGAACACAGGTGGCGCTAGGGGTTAGCATTTGCCTTAAAACTTATGGGTCACTACTTCCGATTAACGCACAATGCGATATTATTATAACTGTAGTGTTCATAACAGGGCTGGAAAAACCACCCGTCCTCAGCGGTCAAAAATTCCCAAAAATGAACAAAAAAAATTTTTTTTTGTTCAAATAGTTAATAAGTTAGAAATTATCACTGGTGTTATTTTTAAAATACGTAAAAAAAATGATTCGTTTATAATGAAATTTAAAACAAGGACTAACGCTTAACCCATCAAAAAATTCCATTTAATTTTTCACTCATCCCTCTTTAATGAATGAATTAATATTTGAAGAAAACTGCATCAAGTATCATCTACTACAAGTTTTAAAAAAATGTATTTGAACTTGAGTGGATGGTATTTTATTAACGATTGAAAATTTGAACAAGATATATGGGGAGAGTGTGGAACTAATAGTAGGAATTGAATAAAAGATAACACTCAAAACGTGGCAAACTTTACACTTTTGTTTATGCTGCGGTATTAGTTTTCTTAAATTTGTTTTCGGCTCACGACCTGTTGAGACTTTTTTAAATTACAGAAAACTCTCACGAATGGTAAACACAAATCACAAAACTCCCTAGAAGTTTAAGCCTATTCACACATCGCCTCGTAAGGATAACATGAGTGGAAAGATACGCTGCAAGTTTTAGAAATTTCTTCCGGTTTTTGGAAGTTCGTGATTGTTTACACATTTAGTCAACCATCCATTGCAATGCGGTTGTTAGATCTCGATTGACCGGAATTTTCAGATGATTTCTTTTCTTTTAAAGACGTAACAGCAAACAGAAGAATAAAATTTCCTACCCTTTCCAGATATTTTTTCTTTAAAATTAGCAGTATTACTCACAGTGTCATGGGCAAAATAAACAGTGAATCACAAAGAATTATTATTTGTAATTTATGCATTATCTTGCATATTTAACATCCATTAAAAAAATTATAACACCAAAATACAGAACAAGACAATAAAATTGTAGAGAAAAATGTATTTTTAAAAAAATAGCATTTTGTTGCACTCAGCTAACTCAGAAAACTATAGTTTTTTTTATTTAATTCTATATTCTGCAATTGGGGAGACAGCAGAAACTTTTGATAAAATATCCATGTTTAATTTTTGTTAGGTTTTGTATCTGCTTCTATCTATGGTTTCATTTAATTTTATACCTGCATGATACAAAAATGGACAAGAGTGAAATTTTTTAAAGGAAAAAACAGATTCGTGATGATTAAGGAGAGATGTCGATAGTCAGACTCTCCGGCTTTTTTTTCAACCCTGTAGTAGAATTTTTTCAAGTTCTCTCTAGCACTAATATCTTTCTGCAAGATACTTTTCATAACATATATAATTTAAAATAACAAAAATGTTATGCTTACAAATGAAAAATTATATCATTTTTTTAATTGAACAATGTAATAATTTTTTATTTAATATTATGGGTGATATTCTCAGATTTTGTTGGGAAACACAAATTATTTTCTTCTTAACATTTTGTAAATAATAATCACAATAAGAATTTGGTTAGTCGTCCGGCCCAAGGATATGGGTACTCGACAGTTATAACTCGCCGTCACGACAGCCTCTCGAGAAGGACCGTAGCCCGAAGCTATGGCACATGCGCAAGACTGAACCAATGTCAGCCGAACATCCACCCGTGGCATTTATTAAAACCAAGATAAAGTTTACAAATGTGTCATCTAGCAACAGCACAGAGTACAAAAAGATTTCGAAACAATTAAGTCCCCGGCAGCGTCCATCTCATCTGACCGCAGTCGATGGAACACTGCTTTATAGTGGGAAAATTGAAAGAACAATTTAACAATTACAATAAATACAATTACAAAAAATAGCAATGACAATAGAGTACAGATGATATCGTTACAATAAGGACAGCTGAAGTCCAAAAGAATGAAAAGAAGAACACTTCGAAAGATGACGGATTGCTGGTTAAAAATAATTAGAAAATGAATAATTAAAAGCCAAAATACAATAATACTAATTTGAAGAGTAATCAAATTTAAAAATAAGTATATAAAGCAACAATTATAATCAAAACATCCAGTGTAAATCAGGATCCAATAAATATTAAAAAGTACCAAAAACAAAAGCATCAGTGCGCAATATCTTTAAAAAGGAGTAAAAATAGGGATCAAAACCAGAGTATAGGTATCTAAAATCAGTAAAATCAAAGTCATAATAGCCAATTACAAATTTGAACTTCAATAATAGAATAGTCTAAGCATCAGAGAGGTGTAGGTCCAATATTAAATTTGATAAGTTAAAATATTTATGGGTTGTTAAACAAGGGGTCCATAAGGTTATTTGGGGACATTATGTCCATGACACAGTATTAAATTATAGTCACTATGGTTTGTTTTTGTCTCTCTGTTCTGCCCATGTCTCCCGGGTTTTTAAAAGAGATGCCATGGAGTGTTGCAAATTTATTGCATTCCGTTAGTAAATGTTTGATGGTTTGGCATTTGCCACAGTATTTGCAGCTTGATGCCTTTTTAAATAGTCTAGCTGTAAACCAAACACTCTGTGGCCTGTGTAAAACTGATTAAGATAGAAGTCACTTATAAGTCTTTTAGTACTTACTTCTGGGAAAAAGCTGTAAGTATGTTGACCATTATTCAACCTCTCCCAGCTCTGTTATCAAAGTTTATTGCTGATGTCCCTGAGAATTTTTCTTAATTGGGCTCTCATGATGTGGCAGTTAATAACCACCCGATCGAGCACCGTGCCCATTTTAGTTAAAGTATCTGCCTCCTCGTTGCCCTCATTCCCCGTGTGTGCCCTAATCCAATTTAACACATGGCCTTTACCTATGTTATGTTTGATCTCTTCAACTTGGTTATTTGTGGACACGGGGTTTTTGAGTGAGTTCAACGAGGATTGAGAATCTGCGTAAATGGTTACCGATGATGTTGTTTTCATTTAGCCAGCTGATGGCTAGTTTAATGGCCTGCAGCTCGGCTGGGTCAGTCAAACCCCGCTGAACTCCCGGATGCAGTGAATGAAATGTTCGCTCCCGTGCCTTGCTATACACATATTATTTTTGTGTCTATAGTGAACCAAGAGAACAAAGGAAAGCGGATATTATCAGGGGTCTGTCTAGGTTTTTCTGGAAGGTACCTTTTTTGTGAAAATTTAGACATAATTTGTGAAACATTAAAAATTATATTACAAAATCAATACAAAAACATGGTAAAAATATAGATTTATCGTTTCTTAAAGGATACAAAGATAACATTTTAAGAAAAAGTATTTTGTGAAACTACCGTTTTTCCTAAAGTTGAATTTGTGAAGGTACCGCTAAACGGTAGTAAATTCGGCCTGGACAGACCCCTGATTATGAACTTTTTTCTGCATTCATCTGATTTTTTTTCATTTTTTGGTAATGATGAAATTTCTACATAAAATACATATACCCATTTTTGAAACCATTTATTGAGTGGAATGTAGCCATAAGTACTTTTTCTTGCTTGCTTCTTCTACCTCAGTTTCCCATCCCTAAATTTTTTGTATGCAAGACGAAGAAGAATGAAACAGTTACTACATATTGTTTTTTAATCGTTTTTATATTTCTTTTTATGGGTCATTTATTTAAAATAAAGTATATAGTAAGATAACTTCAAAAACTATTAGCAAAAATCAATGATAGAGCTGTGAAAAATAAGAATCTTACCCAGATGTGGTATTCACCCATAACCAGGTTTCAGGATAATTTTTCCTTATTATCATTCGACCCTCCGACACCTCAACCTCAGGTATATCCGATGGTGGCTGTATGGGAGTGTTGTTGATATTTTCATCAATCCTTATAACATTCTCAAAACGATCTAAACAAGCAATTGACAAAAATTCTCACTCATTTATTTTATGACATAGATTTTGATCCAAATTTGTTGAGAAGGTGAAATAAATAACTAAACCAACTTTTACTTTTAGAATAAAGTGAAATACTTCGACGTGTCAGACCTTAACTATTCAAAAGTATTGGAAACCCCCCTATAATTGCATTATTAATCCTAATTAAATGATTTGTAAGTATGACAATGAGAGTAATGAAAATAATAAAGATATTTGGAACATTGGATTCACATAGCTGCCAACATGAATCGAAAAAAATCCAGTAGATTTTACGAAATAATATAAATTTCAATGTACTAATTATTTTGCACATAGGCAATTTTAGGGATTTTTATACACATTAAAATAGAAAAACTGCAATATTTTCCGGTCATCATTAGGATCAAATATGCTTTAAAGTTGTGAATTATGTTTACTCATAATTTTGAATAGTAATAGGCATTTAATTCATAAGAAATAATTAAAATTTAATTAATTTCGAAAGGGTGTTCCAAATAAAAATATGTTAGAACAAAAAAAAATTTGAAACTGCTTTCTATAAAAGAGGCTCACTTCTTTCTATATTAGTAATACTTATTTAAATATTCAAGCAAGCAATAATCTGTGCAAAAATTCTATTTCAAAAAGGACATTTTTAGGAAACTCAGTCAATTATAGGGAATTTTCTAAAGTGTACAAAAAACAAGAGAATTTTTATTAAACCAGTTGACCAGGAGAAACTGGCAAAATTCAGTAGAGTTGGCAGCAATGGATTCAATAGGTGCTACACTTTTAATATAATGACATTGATTATTACGGGTTAGTCAGTAACAGTAATTTATTGCTTATTACATGATAAATTATTCTTACCAAATATAATCGGAAAAACTTTTAACATTTAACTATTAAACTATTAACATTTATTTACAGTTCTATCTTGTTTCAATGCAAATTACACCACTATAAAGTAACCACTGAATGTTTATACAAATTGTTGCAAAAGAGAAATGAAGTAAAACTGTGAATAATTGGGTTTTTTTTTAACAAATGGTCAGACAATTAACCATCATATTGAAATCTAATTCTTAAAAGAGTTATGCAGTGTGTTAATCCCTAATGAAGAATCCTTATGATCATGTGACGAGACATTGTAAGCGTTTGAAATGCGTGATTAGAATGCACGTAGAGTATTGCAATAAATCACTTAAGAATATTATACTCTTAACTGCTTCCCTGATTATCCCAAGTTAATGTATAAATTGCAAACATTTATTATTCCGAGTAACGATGAATTTACATAGAAAAAAAAAGAGTAAAAAAATGGTGTTCGCGAGAGAAAGTAATGCAGATGATTTTTCAGATTATTAAGATATACAAAGACTAATATTTAACTTTTTTCATTGGCCGAGATAATTTGGGATAGTAAACTGATGGTCAATTAAATATATTTTTATACATAAAAAAATTAAAATTTCAACTTAGAACTTGTGTATTATGTTTTGATTTAGTTTCTTGTATTTATTAATGAAATAAAAAAATATGTTGATTTTTTTTCTTCAAAAAATTTATAAGGGAAGTGGTTAAAATACTGTCAAATATTAACTTACAAAAAATAGACTACATTTGCTAGAACTTAAGGGTACAGAAAGATGTTTATGTAAAGAAAAAATGACTGTGAGATTGACCAGTTTTTAAAAACAATAATTTAATCCGAATGATGATACTTTGAGTACTGCATAATAAAGCAGAACATGTATTTTACTACATTATTTTCTGTACTCTCATTTGTGCTTCATTTACAAACTTTGTCAACATTTAATTCCAGTTCTAATTTAAGTTAAAACCATCACCATAATTTATTCACCGATCATTAAATCGTCACCTTTTTCAGTTAGAATATCCTGATTTGAAATAACAATCTTAACTTATCAACTCAATTCATTAGTATTGCATGAAACAGATATATTATTTTTTTTTAAAAATGTTAGTTAAAAATGGAAGCCCAATAAACCATGTTAATTACCTTAAGTTATTATTTGTTAAAGAAGTCTTTTGAAGCAGAAAGATAAACAGCATTTATCTGCAAGCAAAAACATTATATATAACTATCAAATATTAATACAGTAAAGCAAATCTAAACATTAAAAAATATATTTTATTCACAAAATATAAACTATTAAAATACAACCTATAAAACGATTTAGAAAAGTAATAGAGTTATTTACATTTGACTCTTTTTAATTAGAACTAGAGTATTCATACTAGCCGAAATTGGAATGAGTGAGAATAAGACTTTTCTACAAGTCTAAAGTATTACACAATATCTCACATTCCCTTTTTAAACTCTTCTGTTTTTTAGAAGATTTTATTGATTCAACCGCATAAATATGCATACCTTTAAAAGAAAAAAAAAGAATTTTAAATTCTGTTTTGATAGTATGTAAGATTAGTAAAATAGAGCTATATGTTTTATAAAATTCAAATATATAAAAAGTACTTATAAGTAATAAATTACCTATGTAAAAAGTACTTATACATAATTAGCACTATGTTTTTAGTTTATTTAATAACCCTCGCTGAACGGCCCACCCAATTCTGGGTTTACGACTACTGGTGTTAGACTCCGTAGCCTCCTCGTTTTGAATCAATGCAGAAGACAAGGAAACTCCTGGATCCCAGAAGTATGATTTGTTATGGGAACATGGAGGACTTTCACCATTTACTACACGAGGAGTCTTTGGTCATCGGGGATCGAACCCATGACCTCTTGGACATGGACCCAGCGACCAGGTTAGCCCAGCCCCCCTAGCACTATGTTTGTCATATGCTATGCAAATATGCTTTGTGAAAAATTGACACACATTATTCTTTTTTAAAAAGGTCCTTATTCTATCATACAAAAAAAGGAGTATCTCCTGGGGTGGATAAAATATGAAAAAGTTTAATGCAGGGTGCATAGCCAAATCTTTCAACGAAAAACTTTTTAAGTATTTTTTAAGCATTAAATTCATTAACAAAATGCAAAATAATTTTCAGACTTTGCAGGACCATGACTACTAAAATAACTAGTTTCTTACAAAGAACTTGCTTATATTAGCCACCATAAAGAGATCGAGAGATTTTTCAGTTTGATTTCAGAGGGTGGAAAATGAAACCTGAAATGGAGAATATCTTGCAAAACGCATTAGAGTTGCACACGAGAGTGCAAGAATTTCACCGAACCCAGCTCATCAAACACGTAAAATGGTTGGAGTTTTCATAAGCCACCGACCGACGGTACGCTGAAATGAAGTGTGGTTGAATTAATTGTGAAAACGCTGAATAGAACAATGTGAAAATCATGCTTTTTGCATAATACATGATGAAAATCGACATGGTAAAAAAAAAAAAATCTCATTTTCGAAAAAGGAAAATTAAGCACCTTTTAAAAACACCTTTAAGGGCTTTTAAAAAACAAATATCGAAAAAAGCACCTTTAAGCACTTTTTAAAAACACTATGTGCCATGATTCAATGTGGCTGTATTCTGACTTGATGCAAAGACCATGCCATACGCTCTCGAGATACTTTTGTGACAGATCATTGCCCAGGTCATTAGCAATGAGAACCTGTCTCAGAAGGGAGTATAAATAGACCTGCAATGCGACCAAAGTTTGTCAACCAGTTTCAAGAAAGCAGCTCTTAACTACAAGGAAGAGTGATACATACAAAGAATATATTCAGAGAGATTTCCAGAAGTACTCTCTGTGCTACCTAGATTACGAAACACTTTAATAATGTCCACTCCTATTCATTCAACTGCATATTTTCTTTTGTGTGTCATTATGATTTGATGAATGTAAAGCAGGCGAAATGTCAGCCCTTATAATACCGGCTATCCTAATTCATTAAAAATTGTTTTGTGTTTGAAATATATCGAGTTAATTAGATTGAACCACCGATCAATCTTTTTTTCAAATATTGACTATCATGTTGAATCTGTTCACATTAATTTTCTAGATGTACAGATTAACCTTTAAAACAAATATAATTTAAGTTACATTTGGCTATTTCAGTATTTTACAATAAATTAATAAATGTAGAAATGTGTGAAATGCATGGAACAGAAAGAAAAAAAAATTAAACTTTTATCAAATACATGAATAATTTGCTTTATCAATAAAAGTAAGAATTTTTTGATTGGTATTAAATCAAGTATTTGTAATCTAAGAGTAAACATAAGAAGCTTACCATCATTAACAGAGTGAAAAAGGAGGGCATTAGTCATTATTACTGATCCAGAATCCTACAAAAAAGAAAAAGTAATCTTAACTAGCATTCAACAAGTGAAGTTGCAATGGAAGAATATTAAAAATATATATATTGAAATAAAGCAATTATTTTAAATAACAATAAGGGACAGACACTACTAACAGGGTTGCACACAGAATAAAATGAACAAAATAGTTGCTTTTAGTAGCATGAAAATAGCCAAAAACTAGGAAAATAGTTGCCTAAATAAGAACAAAAATATGACTAAAATTTTGTTAATGACTTAATTGTCATATAACATGATCCATTCAGTCAAATTGGTGGCAAATATGATAATTTTTATATAAACATAAATGCTTATTACATACATATGAAAAGTAATTATTCAAATTCGAAATACACCCATCGTAATATCGTATTAAATTTTCTTTTTTTAAATCATGCAAAATTTCAAAGCAATAATCATTGAAAAGGCGATTGAGAAACGAAATAGATTTACAATGGAGTATGTGCAGATTGAACGAATTAAAAAGTGAAGACTCAAATTTGCATTTCAAAATTTTTTATTTTTTGAGAAAAAAAAAGTTCAGTGTGTTCAGAACTGTCTTGTGGGGTGCAGATTTTTCACCCAATTTATGCTTTAAAAAAACACATCGCTGGAGTACAGAAAAGGCTCCTAATAGTAAAAAAAACACTATCAGTGTCCAAATAAATGTATAAGACTAATAAAAAAATTTGATTTTTGCTAAAATTTATGACTACTACAAGAGAAGAAAAAATATTCGAATGATAAAAAAAAGCAACATCAAATTGTTATTTTCAGGAACTTCTAATAGAGCAGTCAAAATCTTAATTTCAATAATTAATTACACTGGAAGTCAAAGAAAAAGGAGAAAAATCATTACAATGTTTCACTTTAGAAATGCACTAGAAGGTTGAAAATCAGTTTAAAAGTAAGGGTTTACCTTAAAAGGGAATCAATCTCAACACACGTTCCTTTATGAATCAATTGATATAAGGGTGTTGTTGAAGAGTGCACACTACCAGGGGTCCATCCAGGGCAAATTTACTACCATTTAGTTGTACATTCACAAATTAAACTTTAGGAAAAACAGTAATTTCACAAAATGCTTCTAAAGGAGCAAATTGTAAGATTCTCCTAGTAAGCGCCACCGTACAGGAAGCAGCTACGTCTGAATTACGAAAATACGAGCTATCTGGCGGGTGGGTAAAAATACGCAAAATCTTATTTTCTGTGCTTAAATGCGGAAAAAACTAAGTGAAAATGCGGAAGGGTTAGCAGCTACATCATAGTTAGAATTTTCTGTACATCTTTGAAAATCCGAAATAAATATAATTATTTTATTTCAACGACTGAATTTTCAGAAAAAGTAGAATGTTTATTTAAAAAAAAAATTCTTTAAAAAAAACCGAAACTTTTGGAGAATCAGAGTTTTTGATTAAAAGGCTGAAATTCGAGAGACAAAAGAGGAAAAATCTCATCCCTGAATCTATCATTGCAAAGATATATTTTTGCAATAAAACGTTTTAAAAATAAACTATACAATCAAATCAAAACAAGAGTCCCAAGTTTATTGTGCGTAAGAAAAGTCTACAGTTTACCGTGTCTAACAAGGTCATTGCTTCACGGTATAGTAACAAGGGTCCCTCATATCCTGTGTGCATCATGCATAAATTTATCCCAACAAATCAATCATTAGCTCCAGTAAATAAATTTGAATGTTATTTGAGCTATACAGATACTATTTCCACAGGAACTGAAAAAAAAGTAATTTAAATTATGCTGAACATTTCTTATACATCTATGATAATATTGATATTTTAAATAAATATCAATATAATGAATAACTATTCAGAACCATATATATAATGAATACACCCAATAAATCAGTAGAGAGGAAAGCAGTACTGTTGAGATGGGGTACATACAAAAAAAATTCCAAGATTTTCAGGCAATCCAACAGGTTTTATGTTTGCTAATCCGCCTTCACTAGGGGTTTGAAAAATTTTGATAACGTTTTTGCCCCTCCACCGTTTAAATATTTGGTTAATGTATGAGTTTATTTGTATCTCGACCTGCCCTATTTAAGGGCATACGAGCATAAATAAAACTCTACATCATCAAGTATGAAAATCAGAATATCTAAAATAATGATCAATACACATCTATTTAAACAAGTGTAAATCCATTAAAATAGTAAAGAAGTAAAAGGGTTAAAAAAATTAATTTACGGAGAAATCCAATAAATGTTAAAACTTTACAGAAGCATGTAAAATATTAAAAGCTAAAATTCAGTATAAAAGTTAAAAAGCAGAACAAGTTAAGAAACAATCAGTTAAAAATTGATAAAACAATACAAGTTAAAAGCCTAGAGACAGGCCCGTAGCCAGGGGGGACCATCGGGATAAATCCCCCCCAAAAAAATTCTGGGATTCAAACTTTTTAGTCTTTCTTTGAGCCTCTCAGTAAAAAGAAAAACAAAAACTGTCGAATCAAACCTTTTATTAACTAACTTTATTAAGCATATTTCGGGATATTCTGGTTTGTCCTAAAAAAGTAATTGAAAAATTTTCTTCAAATCCCCGTCGCATGTCTTTGTAAACTTTGTTTACAAATTGTTTATAATTATTATGTAATATTAATTGAAAAATAAGTATTATGTAATATTTTTTAATTACTAGTTTAAGTTTTGCAAATAACAGAATAAACAATATTTGTTACAACGTTTTTCACCTACTTTGCATGTCTGAAACTGTCCTTGCTTCTTACCATATCCCCCCCCCCCCCAAAAAAATATCCTGGCTACGGCCTTGCCTAGAGAAGTCTAAAATGATGGTAGATAAAAACACAAGACACCAGCAATAGTGCTCGCATACTCTGAGCAGAGTTAAATGTGGTTCAGAATGTCCTCTAATCCTGCCTTTATAATTTTTTTGATAATGTTTCTACAGACCAACTTAGCAAAGCTTTGATGCAAAGTTTGTCCTGCAAGTGTGGACAGTTCATGATCAAGTGTTCAATTGTTTGATTGCATATTACTTTTTTATTTTATTATTGACAAGGATTCTAAAAATTCATATTCAGGGCAGGCATTACTGAACACCCTGTAAATAATTAAAGCATCAAATTAAGTCCTAAAAAATACAATAAAATAAAATTAGTAAACATTAAAATTTTAGTACTGTTTAATACATAATTAGAATTTTACTTCCATGAATAATTGCTTTTTTAATTATTGATTTTACAGCTTTTTATTACTATATCAAACTGTATGTCTATATATAATAATATATATAATAATATATATAATAATAATAGAGATATATTTAATAGTATAATCCACAGAAAAATAATTTTTACTGTGAAAATTAAAAAGGTTTTGAAGTGTGTATGAGATCCCTGACCCTGAGGCAGAATTTTTTCTGCGACAAACCTCTCTAGTGTTAATATCTTTCAGCAAGAAACTTTTAATAATAACAAATATACATGTTACTAATTTAAAGTAACAAAAGCGTCAAGATCAAAAAAAAACTTTTTATAAAAAATAATGCAATTTTATAAATTGAATATGTAATATTTTTTTTATTCTATTATTATGAGCGATATTTTTGCATTTTAAAGGTGGAAAACACACTAATTATTTCCTTTTTTTTTCTTTGTAAGTCATCAAATTTAAAAATAGTGAAATCCATAGCAGTAACTATTGAAAAAAAATTGCTGGCAAAATCATGCAGATCGAACTCTTCAAATGCGTGTTTTCATTTCAAGATTCAACTGTTGTCATAAATAATATCAGATCAAAAATATCAGATTTCAAAAACTATATGGAAATCAATAGCAATAACTGCCAAAAAAAATGGAACAAACATTTCTGCAGAAAAGAAAACCAAAATTTTTTCTTCATTATTATCAAATGAAAATAGAAAAATTACAAGCATTTTCTTTCCACTCCGATGCGCCAGAATGGCATCATTTGAATGCAATTCTGAAGATCAAAATAATAAAATCTTTCAAAAATTTCGGCAGAAAAGAAAACCAAAATTTTTAACTTCCCAAAAGAAAAACCTTTCTGCAAGAACTCAGTAATATTCTGCGACAACGTCGCCGTGTCGCCACAATTCTGCTACGGGGTCCCTGATTGCACTAGAAAAATACATGTTGAGAAAAAATTAAAATTTTTAGGTAAGTCATATATTTCGTTAAGGTGGAGCTTTCACTGTATCGGAATGTGATGGGTGTCATATTGGTCCTACATTCCATCAGCTGATATGGGAGCATCAGAGGGCGTGGTTAATCGAACAATTTTAAATATTAATTTCAAAATAATTAGTTAGCCCACTGAATTGAAATTGCTGACTAGCATCATAAAATGGCATGAAGTTTCATTTTATAGCATAAAAAAAATACCAAGCAGGAGAAGAAAGGAAAGCGGAGGGAACTAAGAGTACTTTTAGAGCAGAGAAAGATCAGACATGACAAATACCTGGATTACAGTGAAAAAACTTTTTTACACTATGCCAAATGCTGTTTTGAGATCTGCATTATATCTGAATTTCTTTTAGTTTTAATATAGTTTTAAATTTACTTCAAGTTCAATGAATTTATCTGCATTGTTGAAAATAAGTATCTTTTCTGAACAATCACTTCCTTAGATATAGTTTCTTCAATTTCAAATGGTTTCTACAATTTTTAGTTTATTCTGGGATTTTTTCCCCCGATATACAGAATGAAATAGGTTTCTTTCGGAAAAAATGCCGACCCTCGTTGGAGCTAAATGATGATTGCTTTGAATGCCAGTAATGGTATTTTATTTGCAGCTCTTATTTCCTTTGTTTCATAAAATCATTTTTAAATGCACGTACATAAATAATTTTACTGCACTTTAATCTAGCTTTATTTATTATTGAGGCAATTAAATCAGACTTTATTCATGCGTATAAACTTAATTATTACAATGCCTTTGAAATATTTAAGTAATATTTTGAAATATTAAGTAAACAAATTTCTATATAAAGTTATGTTTGTATGCTTTTTATATGAATTATAACTAGAAGTTGTATTATTTAATGAATTATGGGCACAATTTATTTTTCTTTTGGATACCGCGTATTTAATTTTATTTATCGCATTTTCTATTTCTTTTAACTTTAATTTTATTATATTTAGTTCAATAACTCTGTCCTAAATGTTTGCCTTCTCCCCTGTTTCGAAAGTGGATCGTCCCACAGATTGAAAATGTGTGGACGATTGCAGCACCGTTTTTGCGCCAAGGAATACTTGAAAGGGAAGAACAGATTTATTATCTTTTTTGGCATTTCCTTTCTTGATTCCCAACTTTGTAGATGGTGTACCGTGACGAGGGTGGCTGGCCACGCACTTGAACCATGATTATTCAAAGATAAGTCTTTTTTCTTTTATGTGACCTTACATAATTTTTTAAAATATTTTTAATTATGATTATTCTCTGTTTTATATCGAACTAATATGTAAAGTGTATGACAGTACATATCAATGTTTTTAATGTAAACTAAATTCAATAATTTAATCTTAATTTCTTTAAATAAATATATATAATCTAGATAAATCATATCATATATGAGGTCTTTATTTCACATATAATTGATTACTAAGATTAACTATGTTTATCTTTCAGCCAATTACAAATGTTTAATTTACAGATACTAATTTTACTAGTCAATTTATTTTGGCTTCATAGCCTTACTTGCTTCATTGTAACGGGTAACGAAAAGATATCAATTGTAAAAAACTAACACAACACAATATAATAATTAAATTTCATTCATAATGTTTTATCAATTCCAATTACCGTTATAACAACAGTTTACAACAATAAAACGTACCTTAAATGTAAGTCCTGCAGATTTCGATCCCAGCCAAGAAAGAGATCTCCTTCTTCTTCGATACCATGGAGGGTTATACTTAGCAGGTTGTCCATTATCATAAGTATTTAATTCTTTAATCACCTGTTTACAAATAAAAATTAGTTCCAAATTAAAGAGATTTTCACATATAATAAGTAGAAAAAGGGTTGCTTAGGTCCAGGTTAATTAGTTTTAAACTGAAAAAATCCACACACAAAAAATTATAATTTATTTTTTTACCTATCCATGTTAAATTTGCTGAATGACAATTAAAAATGGAATTTTCTTTTTTCCATTTTAGAGAGTTTAACACTCATTTAAATCAAAATAGATATTCTTTCCTTTTAAATGACTAAAATAGGATGTTTAAAATGAAGCACTTAATATGAATAAATGACCTTAATGACTTGTGAGTTTTAAAATTTACATTTCAAATCTTTTCTATCTATAACTTATAATCATTAAGAGGAGAAATATGTTTAAGAAGTACTTTGTTAATTTTTGTTAATGTGCTTGTGAGGAGTGAAGATATCAACAATGTCAACCTTCATCTATGAAAATCCATAGAATCGAGTTAGCATGCCTTATATACTAGTGAATTGGAATTTTCAGGGATGAGATTAGCCAAAACGCAAAAAAGCTGAATTTCCACGATAGTAAATTTTACGCAAGTGCAACCTTTTAATAATAAATTCCAGACAGTTTAAGGTAATAAATAATGTGTTGACATNGTTTGAATTTTCTGTTTCTCTTTGAAAATCAGTGAATTTTCTGAAAAAGCGGAATACTTATTAAAAAAAATGAAATTTTTAGAACATCTGAATTTTTGATAAAAAAGCTGAAATTTAAGAGATAAAAGTGAAAAAAGCGGAAATCCGCTAAAAAGCGGAAAAATCTCATCCCTGAATTTTGTAGTGGTAGCACATTATTCCTCCACCAGAATTACAGCTGTGATAGAATTTGATGGACGGATAGCTATTCATCTCTGTTTTGTGAGAAGCCGGGAGAGCTGTATTAAGTTCACTGTACTTTTGTTGATCATGAGAGCTGTATCAAGCGTTCAGTCTTGGTTGCTCCTGTGTTGCCATTAGCAGTCGAGTGTATGCAGGACAACGTTGTGCGTGATCGAGACTGAATAGCAACAGCGCAGGGAGGTGAATAGTATCGCAGTCACAAGTAGCAAGTGTTCAAAGTGGACCATCCATCGAAGTTTGCATGTTCAAATCGAAGTGGGAGTTTCTGTCGAAGTGATTATCATATCCCTCTGAGAATTCGATTATCATTTCTGTATAGTACTAGTGAATTGGAATTATATTTTTGTAGTGGTAGATACACAACAATGCTTTTTTATAAAAATCTTGCATAGGCAAAAATTTTGTCAAAATTTTTGCTCATTTATTTAAAAATTTCAATAATATTAAGTAAAGTACAGCTTTAATACGAGAAATTAAAACTGTTTACAAAAGAACTTATAAGACTTTGAAAAAATAAATGGGGGGGGAAGAAAGAAGCTCAAGATAAACAAAGAAACATACCTCATCTTGAGTTATATCATTATCTGATTTGAGCTGTAATATCCCTTGATCAACACCGAGTATTCCGACCATAGAATTTGGAGCAGTACTAAGTTTTATTTCCACTTGCCGTCCAGGTTCAGATTCTTTAACATTAGGACTTAATGTTATCTGCAAAAATATGAAAAATTTATTGCAACGAAATTTTCAAACACAACAACTAAATATTTTTTAATTTTTTATTTCTAACAGCAACAACACTTGTAGTGTACATCATTCGCTGGAGTGTAAAAACACTCCACACAGACCTATAAGGAATAACAAATAAAAAAAATTGAGAAACATTAAACCATGCAAAATACAAAAACAATTAGAACAAAGAAACATTAAATAAAAATATAAAAGGAAAATCAATCAGCAGTTCCTGCAACTAGCCTTTAGGTATACGTCATAGATGTTGCCAGTAACTTCAGGGCGCATCCCCCAGATGCTCAAGGGTGTCCTCCCCCGCACAAGACACACTTTGGATCGAGAAAGGTCTTTGGAGGCAGCATTGCCTCTCGAGTGATCTTATTCAGAGTCTCCCTCCACACCTTGTCACCAATTTGTTCATTTAAATTATTTCCATAACTCTCATTTATAGTGTTTTTAATTATTCTATTTATGGATGAGTAAGGAATTTCTCTCTGAGAGTTCTGAAAAATACCAGTTCCTCCTTCAGCTAGAAGATCTGCCATCTCGTATCCATAGATATTACAGTGAGAAGGAACCCACTGTAAAACAATATTCTTTTTTTAAGGACAAAAATAACCCAAAATTCTCTTTACAACTTTTAATTCCAAGACAGCCTGAAAAATCAACAGATGTCACAGCTCGGATTGCTGAGAGGGAGTTGACATATATAACGACATCATCATCATCATCCATTCTTGATAATAGTTGTTGAGGAGTAGTTCCAATGGCCTCCACTTCATCGAAAGGAGTTGTGTTTGCTCCCAAACTCAAATAAAATGAAAATACTTCAGAAGAAATACCAGCACCCACATTTCCATCTTGTTCCTCCCGAGATCCGTCAGTGTAGACATGACGCCATTTAGATCATGGGTATCTTTTTTTTTTTTTCCTTTTCGTTGAACAGACGACCCAATTTTGGGTTTACGACTACCAATGTTCAACTTCGTAGCCTTGTAATTTTGAACCTATACAGAAGACAAGGAAACTCCTGGATCAGTACCCCCAGAGTGACTGATTTGTTATAGGAACATGGAGGACTTTACGACTCGACAGATTTAGCATGCACCAGCCACCATTTATTACACGAGGAGTCTTTAGCCAGATGGATCGAGCCTATGAACTCTTGGACATGGGCCCAGCACCCTGCTAACCAGGCTATCCCAGCCGGTATCTACTATTTATAGTTTCCAGGGCATTTAAAACTGTCTCGGTGTCTTCCGTACCACTTGTGCAAAAGAGGTTCTACCTTTCGCCAATGGGGTTAAAGGGTCCAGTGGAGGAGGGATTATCGGGGATGTTTAATTGTTCATTAATTTTTACCACTTTATAAATAAAAAATTTAGTTTTTAGTCTTCTGTTATGGTTATTATATTTTCTTTAATAATTGTTTAAAGGCAGACAAACTAACTTTACATGTAAGTTGAATAATAACTTCAATAGGTTTATTCTTAGTAAACAGCAGCATTGGGTTTGTTTTAATAGCTCCAACAATTTGTCTTAAAGCTTGGTTCTGAGCAGTCTCCAAAGCTGTCATTTGTGCTTTGCCACATGTTATAAGTGCTTCAAAGCAAAAGGTCATAGCCAGTTTCATATACATATTGTAAGTCAGGTTTAGGGTTTCTATACCACAGCCCCATTTTACGACGATTTCTTTCTTACATTTCCTGTTATCGAATCAATATGATTTCTCCAAGTTAACCGCCCCGTGCTAGAATCACGGCGACATTGTCGCATAACGTTAAGAGCTCTTGCAGAAAGAATTTTCCTTTAGAAAGTAAAGAATTTTGGTTTTCTTTTCTGCAGAATTTTTTTTCTTCTCTAAAATTATACTTAAAAGATGCCTTTTTCGTGCAATGGTGATGAAAGAAGTGTTTGTGATTTTTCTTACCCTATTTGAGAAGAATAATGAAGTAAAAAATTTCTTTTCTGCAGAAATGTTTGAAATATTTTATTTCTCTATAATTATATTCAAAAGATGCCTTTTTCCCACATCAGAGGGAAAAGAAATGCTCATGATTTTTCTATTTTTTTTATTACTTACTTTTAATTATTATTATTTTTGATGTGATGATAATTTACGAAATGGCGAAAAAGGAAATAATTAGTGAGTTTTCCTCTTACAAAATGTAAGAATACAGTCCATGATATTAGAATAAAAAAAATATTACATACCCATTTTAAAAAAATATATACACTTTTATTTCATACAAATAGAGTTTTTTTTCATTTTTTTTTCAAATAAATTTAATAAATAACATGTATATTTGTTATTATTAAAAGTATCTTGCACAAAGTACCAGAGAGGTTTGAAGCAGAAAGCCCCAAAAAATTCTGTCTCATGGTGTTAATACCTCAGAAAAAATATTCACAAGGACTCAGAAAGTTTTAAAAAAAGAAATTCTATAACTTTCAAAACTTACATTTTTCATTCATATTTCTAAACATACAGTCTCATACAGGGTTTAATTTTTGTTCTCATTACTAAATTCTATGTAGTTTTTTCATGCTATAAAAATCTTTCATCTTCAACTGAAGTATTTGAATTTGAATAATAAAATGTAAACAACAGCATTCTAAACAAACTCTTAATAAATTATTTTCAAAGAATACATACAGAAGTTTTCAAAAGACCTTCTACGTCAAAGGCAACAGAATCAGCAACTATCTCATTATTTTTGTTTCGAATGTAGTAAACCAGAACACGACCACGGGGTGCCATTGACCTTGGTATTTTGAAGTTAAATCTGTACACTTTGAGATTTGGAACAGGTATAGTTTTAGAAAGAAGAATGTTTCCTCTGCCAATAACCTGAAATGATAAATGTTTATATCATAAACTGAACTTCATTCAATAAAAGTGGGGGGACCCACGTAGCCATTAAATAATTGCAGAACATCAAAATTTATGCTTATCATGATTGTGTTTCTTGACAGCGCAAAAACTTATGAGAATTTAAAATTCAGCTCTCATCCTAGCCATATTTTTAACTATATTCATGGATCCTTTAAATGTTCCTTAAAGCAGAAACACAGTTTCTACAAAAATAAAAACCTTATAAAAAATTGAGAATAATGGAGAGTATATCAATGAACAATAAAAGCTACATTTATGAAAGGTATTTAAATTGCTTTCAAGTCTGGCATAAATTTTGACAATACAGTAAAACCTCGCTACAACAATATTTTGGAGACCCAATAAATATATTGCTGTAGAGCGATATATTGTTATATGGATGGCCTACATACTTTGGGAACACAGTAAGATTTTTTTTTTAAATTTTAATGTTATAACTATAAATGTATTAATGATGTATTAACTATAAACGTATGCAAAAAATTAATTTGAGGAGTACTAATTATGATTAAATATTAAAAACAATTGAAATAAATTCAGAAAATAAGATCGTAAACATACCTGAAAACCCTTTTCATTGAAAATAATCTGATATTTTTGTTTGTTTATTTTTCCTGTTAAGTCAACCAATAAAGTATGCATTGAATCCAAAGCACGAAAATGATTGTGCTCCACTCACCCTCTATGGAAAAAATTCTCATTTAGGAGTTAATGTGATGCATTTATGACTCATGTAACATGAAAGAAATGAAATCAGAATCTGTGACTTCTTAAGAGAAAAGGAAGGCAATTCTAAGAAAGGAAGCTGTTGGAGCAGTGTCTTCTCTTGTCAGAAAAGATGGAAAAAATAGATGATAAAATAAGATTTTTTACATTATTTGAAAAGCAATAATAAATGGAGAAAATAGGGTTAAAATTTGGAGAAAAAAAAACTTTTACAGGGGTTTATTGCTTCATAGAATATCGTAATAGTGAGAGGAGCATGACATTAATTCACATGCAAGCTCATCGGGACCACGAAACATTATCGCAACAGAGGGAGTCATTTTTGTATTGGATATCGTAGTAGCGAGAGTTTACCGTATTTTAATAGTAAAGTGTATTTTTAAAAAAATTTGATGATAGAAAAATTCACTCGGATAAATAACGACACACCAATACTATAAAATATATCTCTAAATAAGGAAAGAAATTAAACGAAGAAAACTTTCTGAAATAAAAATTATATACTTGAATAATTTTTTAGACTCACTATAAAAAATATTGTTTACAAGAACAATAATTTTTTTGAAGATGCTATTTTCAAAAACATGAATAGCCTAAAAAAATTTTTACAGCATCAGAAAAAATTACAGTCACATTGTGATTTTATAATGTTTTGCATAAAAGAAAATGACGACATACAAATGGTAGCTGTAAAGAACTGTATGAAAAGTTAATAAAGTTATATAAAAAAAATCACTTCAATTCACAGTGTTTTCACTACAGCGCGAGAATCTCGCATATTTTTTTCTTTTCTCGCATTAAAAATGATTACCGCGAGAAATTCGCGCATTCTATAAATCAATTTCAAAATTCGCGAATTTCTCGCATTTTGGAAAAAGCTTCGAATTACGCCATTTAGAATAAAATCCGTTTCACTTTTCTTACTGGATCTTTCATTATTTTCAACATCTGCCCCATTATCTAGCTTTCCTATTTACCAGTATTGTTCAGAACCTTTTCAAATAACAGAACACAACCACGGAACCCCTTTCAGACCACATTTGTCTGCAACCACGCGTTTACCGTAGGTAAGGTTTCTTCATGTAAGACGCTCAAATTTTTTATGCACTTATGCAAGATGGACAAATACCTTGTAAAGGCAAAATCTTCTATGATGATGCATCAAAAATATTCAATGCTTTAAAAAGTAGAAGACGTTAAAAATGTATTATAATTAAAGAAATGATTTTTTTTTCAAGAGATTTTGTGTTTTTTTAGAAATCTCACTTAACTTTTTGAAATCTCACCCTGTGTTTGAGAAAGGGTGAGAAATTCTCACTTATTTTTTTTTCTATGATGAAAACACTGATTCATGCCCAACTCATAAAAAAAAAATTTTTTAAAAACTTATATTAATGGGTCTTTAAGATTTAAACTCATGTATTAAAATAGAGAAAAAAAGTTTGTGGCAACCACCCATTATCCTGCAAACGACTCAAGTGTCGACTCTCCTCCAAACTCAAGTGTCGACTCAAACGACTCCCCAACTGACTCCCTCTCTCATCCTAATTCGGATTATCCTATTTTAACAATGTAAGATTTTTGATTATCTATTTTATTGTACATTAAATTCTCTTGACTTTTTTTCTTTATTTCCTGTTATTTACTAGATGAATAATCCTTTTTTCTCATTCAATTTAGAAATATGGCATGTCTTCACTTTAAAGCATGCTATACTAACCAAACAAATCATCAGTCTGGTAAAAATAAAACTCAGCACGGATTAATAAATATAACAAATGAAAAATCACCTCTGTGCATTTCAGTCAAATAAAATATTCAATTTTAATAAAAAGGACATATACATGGAGTTAGAGCCTGACAAAGGCAGAGGCATACGGGGCAGTTGCCCCAAGCTCCACATCAGAGGGACTCCCAAATCAAATAGAAAGTTTATTTTAGGTATCCTTCTTTAACGAACTTTCTTGAAAAAAAATATCAGTACAGTGTAAAATCCGTCGGTTTTATGTTAGCTTCTTCACTCACCTATCACGAACACAAAAAATCCGTATTTCGTACATCCATGGCTTTCTAGGGTGGAATTCAGCTAAATTTTTGCAATGAGGATGGGCACATTTGGCCAATCAAAAGCCTGTATTTTTGCATATTAAAAAATGCGATATGTTTCCAAAAATGCAGTCTTCTGATGGGCTTAAATGAGCAATCCTCACTGTGAAAATTTTGCTGAATTCCGCCCTAATGTCAGCAAGGATGTGAATTTTTCGCAGCTAGGAAGGTGGCAAAGTCAACAATCAGAAAACTGCATTTGGCATGATGGACACAGAATTGTCAGAAAATCAAGAAAATGGACAGAACGACATTTCTTTTGACCATTAGAGGGGGGGGGAGCTTTATAGCTATTTTAGGTTCTAGTAAATTTTCTTGTTTTATATGTATAATGATATGAAAAATTTAAATACCATCATAAAGTTTGATTCTTCATTACTGAAGTAGTCAAGGAGAGGGCCCCAAAGAAGTTTTTCCCCTGAGCTCTGCGTAGAGTTCTCCCTATGAATAAAAAATGCAGGGTACTTCCCCACAAAAAAGAGCACTTTTGAATTTTGAAAGGGTTCTCACTCACCACCGTTAAAATTTATCAAAAATGAGTAATATTATGTGATAAATGAATTTGATCATCAATTTTTAAATTATCTTATTATGTGTATGTTTCACAAAGTAATTCTTATTCAGTATCAAAATAACAGAAAAATTTGAAGCTTCTGATGAATAATTAAAGGCGAAGTAAAAAACAATCTCTGTGCATAAATTTTTTCAAAAAAAACTTTTAAAAAATAATAATAATTGATAAACAACTTTGAAAACTTTTAAGTATTAGAAACTGAAAATTATGAGAAAATAATAATTTAAACATGCATTTTTAAACAAAAAGGGGTTTATTTAAAAAAAAAAAAATAATGGTAAAAATTTAAAAACACTGAATAACTCATTAATATACCTCATCTCAATTAAAAGATTTCTAGGGCAAAATATCAATGGGAATATACAACTAGGCAACATAAGAAAAATCCTACTAAAATGAAGAAATAAAATTAAAGTTAAATGAGTAACTACATAAATCAGAAGTGGGCTTTTCATTGAAATAGGTGGTTGAGAAAACAACCTTTTCCTGAAACAAAATGTTTTCAAGGATGGTGGCTTATTTTTACAAAAGGGGTAAGGTGTGTGCTTTTTAAGGGATCAAAGGGCTGGTGGGGTGGACCACCCTTCTAAAAATGCTTAGGGTGAACACTGCATATACATAAACGCTGATGAAAAATTTAAGACATCATACTTAAAGATAAAAAAATTACCAATATTGCAATGCATTTTAAAAAGAAAAATAATCTTCATATGTTATGAACATACCTGATAAACGAGATGATTAATTGGTTCAGTAGCATTTACTTCCATTTCTACTGTTTCCTGAACTTTGGGATTTGGAGTGACGAGAACAATTTGAATGAAATTATTGGTGGGAGAAATTGCAGCATCAATTGAATCAAGATAAAAAATCTGGCCTTGATAAATGGCTCTCATGTTGAGGCGTAAGATGTTCTCTTCATTGGGAGGTGAGAATTCAAGTTTAACAATTCCATTTCTGGGAAGAGTATAAAATTCTGACTTCCAGTATTCTTCCTGATTGCTGAAACCATATTTTAGCTCTAACTGGCCTCTGCTATCAGAAACTGGAACATCATCTTGATAAGATATTTTTAGCTGCAAAACATTCACATTTCATTATAGTCTAATGCAGAGATTACTTTCAAAATGTAGTCCTTACTTGACCTACTGTTCACTCGAGAATTCAATTTAAGAAATTTTGAAAATAAATAGAAAATATTAACACATTATAAGGAAACATCTCATCATTTTATGATCAAATTTATTATTCAAAACCAATTCTATTATTCAACTTCGTATCTCTTTCTTGTGAATAAATTCAAAATAGGCTAGAAAATTAACAAATATCTCTGACTTCATAGTTTCCTCTTAGAATAAAAATGCACCAAGAAGAAAACATGCGATTCCTTTGTTTGTGAGAGTGTCGGTTAGTAACCTCGTCATACTGTGGTAGTGACACCTATTGATAAAAATAAGAAGCGCTACCAAAACAACTACTACTTACACTTCAGTCGGAGATTCCCCGTAATATGAAAACACTCAAGTGAGCGATTTAACTGAGAGAAATAAAGAAGTAAATACAAAAGTAGTCTCTTGTTTTTTGCAGTTTTAAATAATATTAAATTAAATATTGTAAACCGCTACAAGAGTACTCATGCATTTAAGGGTATTCTCTAAGTGAAATGATTTAGTGGCCATCATTCATAATGGCAAGATAAAATCTAAAATGTTCATGTAATGACCGTTGTTGAACAGCCTACTCAATTCCTTGGGTTTACGACTACTCATGTTCAACTCCGTACCCTTGTAATTTTGAACCCAATCTAGAAGACAAGGGAACTTCTAGAAGTACTGGGAGAAATGTGCCTACGTGGTGGACTTTTTAATAGAATTAGAATGCACTTGCGTTACATGGAGAGGAAAACCACAAAAAGTTCCCACAGTTAGCCCGACAAGGGGACTCTAACCCGTCATCAGTCTACCCCTATTTTTAATTGAGCACTGTGGTCGGTGCGAACCAGATGAGGAATTGGCAGTTTTACTAAGATTTCAGTGGTCTCGGATTAAAGTAGATTTCGGGCCCTGTATATTTTAGAACACAAAAATTTCTCAGAAGCATTATATTGTTGCAGGAATGCATCATTGTGATGAAGCTGAATTACTTTTGTTGGTAAGTGCAGCATTGTATACACGATGGTTACTGAATTTTCGCATGGAAAAAAAAATGGTGTATCACTTTACTAGCGTTTGGAAAGTATCACTTTGTGTTGTTCCTTGTTTTAAGAACCATCATACAAAAACTAATACTTTACCTTCTTTATTTCCCCAGAGATAACTCTGGATAAATAAAATGCTTTTTACGCATAAAAATTTAACTTTAAACTTGTGTATTAGGTTTTGTTTTATTTCCTTGTATTTATTAATAAAATTAAAAACAATATGTTAATTTTTTGCCTTTTTTTTTAAAAAAAAAAAATCAGTGAGGGAAGCGGTTAAACTTGTTGAGAGCAAGAATTTCTTCTAAAGGTGGGCATCACCGGAAAAGTGAAGTACCAGGCCGAGATTCACCGAAGCTCCAACCTGCTTAACTAAATAAACTGCTTAAATAGTGGAGAGAAGACTGATCACTTCTACTAGTAGTTCATCAGACCGCCTGTATCACTCCGCGTAGGAACTACTCTCTTCGATCCTCTTACCTTCAAACTTCCGTGGTTTCTTTGCTCGGTGTTTTCGTGTCTCTGTGCTTTGTTTATTTTTCCGCTAGCTGACGCGAATGAGTGCCTCTACAACTATCACAATAACATATTTTGTATCAGCTTGTCCAATTAAAAAAAAAAAAAACTTCAACGCTAACTGTGAAATTAAAAACATGTTTGAATCAAAACTTTATAAGTGAAAGAAATTGCTTTTAAGTAATAATCTGAATATTAAAACATGATCATAAATATATTTCAGGTCCTGTTTTTCAATAATTTACTCATTCTCAATACTTCTAGTTATTGTTAAATCAAAGAAAATGTTTTACATAATTTCAAAAACACTCTCAGCCTGAGTTGATTCCCTTTTAGAGTAGGAAATGAGTGCACTGTTTTAACACTAAACATACCAACACTTTTCAATACAATATAATATACAAAAACTGGTCCTTTGACCAGTTATGGTATGTTATGGTGTTAAAGAAAATTATGTAATAAGTGATGTTATTTTATAAAACTAAAGATGCATAGTTTACAAACAGTAAGAAAATACAGTCAAAACCGGCAATAGTGAACCTTGAAGGGATAAAAATTTTGCTTCACTCACTCATTTTCCGAACTACTCCCTCTTATGACACTACTATTTAAATAAATAAAAAGAAATACAAAAATTATTTTAAAAAAGAAGAACACGTAGCAACAAAAAATGTGTAACTTTTTTTTTTATTATTACTCTTCTATCTCTATATTACCTGTTTGTCTACGATAGGTACTCTGCCCGCCATTCGTCTGGAAGGGTGGCGGTGACTATGGTAACGAGGTATGATTATTTCAAGTAGGGGTGCGGGGTCCCTCTTTAAGACTGGTTTCGGTGGGAGAAAAGGAGACTTCTCTCTTCGATCTATTGTATTAGCCCCAGAGTTAAGAGAAATGAGCATTCGCGCCTGAAACATCGTTTAGAGCGTGTGATTCCTTTTTTTTTAATCTTTTCTCTTTTTCAAAAGCTTCTGTTTTAGAAAAAAAATTAAAAAAATTTATATGTATGTATGGAATATGTATGGAAATTGTATAAAATTGTTTAAAGCAGCTCAATGTTTTATTAATAAATAACTCATCTATAAATTTATCATACATAGTAAATTGGTTATTAAGAAAAAAATAAATTTGCTAATAAAAACTGTTTTTAATAAATAGTGAAAAAAAACTGTACAGGTTACAATAAAATATGAATAAGAAAACGTAATTTAAGCAAAAAAAACTTCAGATAATTTCAGATGGTTTGATGGGTGCTGATAAAAATCATCGTTGATAGTTTTAGATTTCATCCTAGTTGCGGTCACTTGCTTTCAGTTTCAAAAAAAAAAAAAAATAAAATATTTAAAAATTAATAATCAAAACAAAGATATTTAATATTTCTCCGGCACAGATAACGTGAACTATTTTTATTTTCAGCAAAAGTTTTATCTCCTTTTAAAATCAGAGTTATTAAGTTTAAGCTCTTCACTTTTTCCAGAAAATTCAAGTAATAAAAGAAATTAACTGCTTTAAAAAATGTGCAAGTTTAGAAATTAAACCATCTAACAATCAATGAACATTCATAATAAATATCGTAAAATTAAAAAGTAATATTAAAAAAACCTGTACTACCCTTAATGTCAGAATTTGTTCACTTTTTTTCCTTTGTATTTAAAAAATAACAACTGATTGAATCGAGAGAATTATTTTAAGTAAGAAAGAAATATTCATGCGAATCTTAAAAAAGTTCTTGAATCAGATTAAATAAGTCTCCTACTGGTGGCTGAGTCAGCCAATCTGGTATACTCCCCATACAAGCTATCATCGAAGGCGAAAGAAAAGGAGTCCTCTTCATCGAAGCCACCCTCCCTAAAATGCTCTCTTCTTGTTTCCATAGCACCAGACTGCCGCAGACTTTGTGGCGGACAGAGTACCTATCGTAGACAAACAGTACTTCTCTATCTAGCATTCAAAACATTTAGGGATGAGAAACTGAGGTAGTAAAAGCAAACAAGAAAAAAATACTACATTCCACTCCATAAGTGGTTTCAAAAATCGGTACATATATTTTGAGTAGAAATTTCAAAATTACCAAAAAATGAAAACAATAAATCAGTCAAAGACAGAAAAAAAGTTCATACTATTCGCTTTGGTTCACTATGTCCACAAAAAATAATATTTTATGTGTATAGCAAGGCACGAACATTTCGTTCACTATAGCAGGGTTTGACTGTAATTTAATTTCCTTAAAACAAAGGGTTCATTGGATAAAGCTTACTTTTAAGACACTTATTATGTGTTAATTATATTCAACAGCAATTTTTTTCCCTGCAACTTTGAATCAAAAAAGTATGCTGTTTTTAAAAATGTTCTTGATGATACACAGAAATACAAAAATAGAGAAATAAAGACTCACAAACGCAGTATACTTTAAGCCAGGTTTGAATGTTTCTGAAGTTCTAATAAGGTCAATCTTTAGGTTTTTATCGTATATCCACATTGTATTGGTTGAGTTATACTTGTGTCCAGTCTCTTCTTCGACCACTAGAGCAAAAAATTCAATTTCTCTCTTGAAAAAATCTGTTCTCAGGGATAAGTCTTGCAATAAATTCAAATATATTGTAACAGAGCCATCAACCTAACAAAACAATAATAACCTTCAAATATATGGCAACAGAACAGTTAAATACATTCATTAATTATTGAAAAAATTAACACAATTTTTGAAAAAAAAAGGAAGCCTCACTAAAAGTTTTCAAAAAATTTTGTAATATTGCTCAGGTTAAAGTTTTTAAATAAAAAGTATGTAAATACATAGAAGAATACATACATACAAAAAAGTATAAAAAGTATGTATGTAAAATTATGTAAGTAAAAGTATATAAATTTCAAAATAAGCAACTTGAAGTCTTTATGAATCATTGTCAATTAGTATATATTCTGGCTTTGGAAGAAAGTTACTTCATTCGCTAACTGTTTTTAACTCCTAAAATTATAGATCATGACAACTCCAGGTTTCTTTGATCCTGTGTGAATGCTGATGAACTCATGATCAGCTAACCATTTCAATGCATTTTTCTTTTTTATTGAGACTGTGACGCTCATTTCATTTTCCCACTATTTTTAAGGGTTGTGAAGACAGCAATACAAAATATTAGTCATTTAGTTGGAGTAAATACTTTCTGTTGAGAAATTTTCAAAATACGCCAGTTTTTTTTTTTTTTTTTTAACTTGAAGCATTTATTAACAAATTCGACTTTTTGAAAGAGTATAATTATTCCCCTTAAGATTGATGATATGTCTTACAATGGGTTTAAACTGCAAGTTCTGTAAATGAAATTACTATTTTATTCATCATTATCATTTATGCACCAATATCATGATGCACATTACCATTATACATTTCATTATCATTTATGCATCATTTCATTTCTTCAATAAAGTATTATTTTCGATACATGGACGATCACATTCTACGTTTGGTCTAAAAAGGGTTAAAATAAACACCTTTCAATTTGTAAATTCAAAAGCTATAGTAAAAGAGAAACTCACTTGAGCTTTTGTTTGGAAGGATTCATACGGCCTTACAGCTAATTTGTTATATCTTGTTTTAGGAGCAACTGTAAGGGTGACTTCTCCTCTAACAGGTTTTCCATAGGAATACCTAAACAAATTAAAAAATTTTGTTTCAAATGTTTACTGAAAAAATTGTTTTTATTAAAACTTATTTATACATATTTAATTTTATATAATTTTGTCAATTGCGTGCTTTATATGATTAAGCTTTAAATATTTGTTAAGTAAAAGAAACTCTAATCTATATAATTTTATATTACTATTGAAAACTTTAAGCGGGTTTTTTCTAAGAAAAAACCCCGCTTAATTTTTTTCTTTTCATTAAGTGATGATACATCAACATTAGTAAACATTAAAAAAATAAGCTAAAACTTTTTATATATGCTTTTTTTCATAATTTTATAGATTAATTTGCTTTTTGAAATTAAAAATATAAAGTTAAAATTACATATCTAAAAATGAAGCCTTTTCTGAAGGTTAAATATTTGAAAAAAAATGGGACAAGCAACTGATATTCTTTATAATTATATATCATTTTAATTTCATTTTCTATTAATCTTATAATAAAAACATAGAAGACCATTAAATATTTATTTCAGTTTTATTAAAGTTATTAATACAGTTACAGTTTTATTTAATCAGAAGAAATTTAAGTTTTACTACTTATAAATATTTACTGATTATAAATTTATAGTAGTTAATTTATATATGCTTAATAAATATAGTAAATAAATGTATGTGAAAACAATAAGATTAATAAATTTTTTCATTTTACATTACTGTTGCATTTATATTTTATAAAGCTTGAGTTAAAAATTGTTAAACATTATGTCTTTAACAGTAAAGATTCAAATATGTATTAGTGACAATGCATTATTTGAACTTATTTTAATTTTGTTATATCTATTTTAAATTAACTATTTAGATTTATATTTCTCTTTTAATGCTTATACAACACTACTTGATAAATAAAAATATTTACACAGTGAAACTTTAACGTTCATGTATACTAAACAGAAAAAAAAAAAAAAAAAATTCCCCAAGATTTTTCAAATAAAACCCACTTTCCCCCGGGTTTTTTCAATAAAACCCAGGCAGGTTGGTGTTTTTTCAAACCCTGGTTTGCACTTGCTTACATTCGTGTATCAATTGGTTAAATTAGGCCATATATTATATAAATATAGAATATTTATTATTTCAGGTATTATATTAGTATATTATAATAATTAGACAAAATTATTAGACGCTTTGTAGTGTTTTAATAATTGCATGTTCTGCAAGAATTTATACGCAAAACTTTTATTTTTGAACATACATGTAGTGGGTTTTAATCCAGGAGATTTTTTATATACAGTGGAAAGTGGCGTAGCCGGAATCGGTGGGACTTCCGAAAGTCCGGATATTAGATTTTTTCGTATAATAGACCCCCAAGGTAAACAAAGCTTAAAACAATCTATTAAACGATTTGAAATTAAGAAGCAAAAAATAAATAAACATTATTTTTCGGGCAATAATGTTTTAGTATTAGAATTATATCTAATCAATCAAAAACAAAATATTAGAAAAAAGATAATTATTGCCTAAAATATAGAAAACGAAAAAAAAAATTGACAGTTATGAAAATATTAATTGCTCTCTCCGCCAATTTGAACTAGAACGATTCAAGCAAGAAGGGGAAATTCCAGTCATTCATTAAGGTGGGTAGGTGGAGGAGAAAAATTCATTTCCTCCTTATTTGTCATTCAAGTTGAGGGCAGGGAAGGACAAATTCTTATTTTCTCTCTGATCATTCGCTATCAATGAAGCATAAAGGCACGGCATGCTGATTGGGTTCTCTTTTCTTGTGTGAATGAAAGTGACTCCCCCTCCACATTAATGTTTGCAGCGCTTACCCTTTTTCACAGTATTTCCTTCCCTAACACTCTAATAAAAGGTTCCAGGAAATGCCTCTTTTACTAGTCAGCTGCATAGGAAAGGGGGAAGGGGACTCAATTGCGCTCGCTCTTTTGAAAACAAATCTCCCTCCTTTCCTGCATTCCAGAAGAGAAGCGTCTATAGAACTTAATAGACTTCTATTACCACCAGCACATTTTGTAAGTGATACTCTGTACCTTTTTCAAATTAGATCTGACTAAAGTAAAATGATAGTATTCTACAAAAACATAGTTTCCAACAGTCTTAAGTTAAAACATCATTCGATATTGATGTAGCATAATACCTTTAAATTTGACAAAGCAACATGAAAGATATTAAAATGATGCCCAGGACAGAACTTTTCAGTACATGAATCAGAATGATCATAAAAACTTTATAAATGAAATTCAAATTAAAAAATCATTTTGTAAAACGTAGTATTAAAGAATTTTCATTCTACGTAAAATGGCAAATATTATTTTCTACATAAAAGTCCCGCAGTGTCCCGCATAAAGACACGGTTCCCAGTAGAACACCGAAGTCAAGCATCACTGGCTGCAGTCAGTAAGCGGGTGGGTGACCACTTTGATCAACCTGCGTAGAGACCGAGGGCGTGCTTCCTCGTTAAACTGTTCTATCGTAAAATGTTCAACTTTGCGTACAGGTGGTCGGGCTACCAAAACAGGGAAGCCATTCCCCCTGCGGAGGATCAAAATTGCGATGCCATGTCTTCGGATGATCCTCGGGGACGTTTCCCAGACCGTCGCCAATAGCCTATCGTGTAGCTCTAGTGAGACGTAAATAAAGTACCTTCTACATAAAAAAATAAATAAAAGACTATTACATATACTCACATTGCTTTTACTGTAACTTCTACATCTGATCTATTGTATGTAGCATAAGATGGCAAATCAATTTCAACTTCATAAGTAGGTAGAACTTGGGAGAAAAGACCAAATGTGAATTTAAATTAAAAAGATCGATAGAATGCAATTCTACGAACCATAATTCATTCACGTTAAATTTACAATCAATAAAACAAACCAATATTAATAAATTTACTGATTTTTATGCTTTTAATATTTTCACATTTTTTTAGTACATAATAAATACTTAAGCGCATTTTAAAGAATTCATATTTATCTGTTCCAGATATGTGTTTACAAATATCCATGTTTAGTATGTAAATTCAATGATATGCAAAATTATCTAACATAAAAGTTTATGTGTTGTAAAGCCTCTCATGTTTGGATTATAAATACCTCCTACTGCATTTGGGAAATTTTTAGTAAATGAATCACATAAATACCATAAAAGTGATATTCATTTACAAAATACTTTTCCCCTCCATGAAAGATATCAAAAGTTTCTCAGAGTGACTAAAATGTCCCTAAAGCAGAGTTTTGATATCATTGAAAAGATAAGATGAAATATAAAGCTGCCAAAACCTCTTTCATAGATTTTGAGTAAAACTAGCAACATGGTTTTTTTATTTTTTCAGCAGCTACTGTTTTGAAAAATTTCTTTATAACAACATTAGTTCATACAGACTGCTCTCCAAGAAAGTTCTTTTGAAGTTTAAAGAAAGAATGCCTGACCCTATTGGCTACAAGAATGCAACAGACAAAATAATTATTATTTAATGAGAAAAAAAAAAGAGAAATATTATATTAACTTAAAAAAAAAACTATTTCAAGCAGTTAATTGCAAAAGTACATTACAAAGGGGTGATTGTGAAACACTAAGTGATCAACCCTGAACATTTAAATGCGCAAAAACTCAATATCAATTTATTTACTCTACATAATTTTGAACTAAGATTTGAATTAAATTACCAACCCATGAAGAATATCCCACTTTTATAGTAACTCCTTTAAGGAAAAACTTTCTTCTTACAAGAATCAAGACAATGAATTTTAAAATCGCAATAAGATTTTTATATCATGTGAATACAAATCTCTAAGTGTCATTTTAAAATCACTTATAAATGCGATAACAGACGTTTAATATTACAAATGCATGAATACGAATCACACTATTGAGTTTTAAAAAAGCTTGAAGGCAAATCGCAATGCTGGATTTTTAAAACGTGTGCAAGCAAATTGCGACAATCAATTTTTTTGTTAGACAAATAAAGGAATAAGGTTCGATTTTTGTTAGTCGTCGAAGAAGATCTTGTGCATTCAACTTGCGTTGGTGATGTCATGGTCTGCGGGGACCGGGCAGTTTATTTTCATTTCCTGTTGATCGTTCTTCCGTGAATTGTGACGTCATCCGTTATCTGCATTTAAGCTTCTGTTGAAGCAGATTATTTTGTATACTTTATTTTCGTTTTGTCACTCTGTTTGTGACAGTTTGCTTACTAATGTTTTTAAATAAACTTATTTCTTCTTTAAATTTGTTTTATTGACAAACAGATATGATATTCTGCGACAATCTCGGATGTCATTTTTAATGACATGAATGCGAATCACGAATGATTTTTAAATCGTTGCGAATATGATTCACAATGGGTAACTTTTAAATTAGGTAAATACGAAAATCTATAAATAATATTAAAATCAAGTGATTATGAATCGCGATATTAGCGAACTTCTGCGTGGTTTCAAAAACTAAAAATTGCGAAAATTATGACAAACTAAAAGAATAAAATTGGTGGAAGAATCACATGTACAGAAACGTCTCGTTAAGGTGGATTAGCAAAAGTTCAAAAGTTAAATATCAGAATGCAGAACTCTGAAAACTTTTTCAAATGTTGACTTCATTTGTTTTAACCGTTTTGATACGCAGAAGTTTGAATATCAATGGTTTTCAAATACACGTAATTTCACAAAATTCGCAGAAAAAAGACATGCCTACTTAATATTCTTAGAAGGATGACCCGAAAACTCTGGAATTCCGGGATACACCTGTGCATATGAATAAATTTCTTCGAAATGCGACATTTTTCCAAGATAAAACGATGACAACAAACTCTTGTACTTCACCCTGGCACCCATGTGGCAGAATTTTTTCGACGAACTTTTTCTACGACAAACTTCCCAACCACTAATATTTTGCCTTAAGATACTATTAATTATAACAATTACTAATTTAAAGTAACAGAAATGCTGTGTTTACAGAAGAAAGTATAAAATAAAAATGTATAAAAATTTTTAATTGTAAAAGAAATATTTTTTTCATTCGCCTACATTCCAATATTATAGGTGATTTTCTCACATTTTGTAGGCGGAAAAATGGGACTAATTATTTCCTCTCTCAAATTTTGTAAATCATTACACAAATTTAAATTCATAAATAAATTAAACAATAAATTTAATAATAAATTTAAATTCTTATACATAAATAAAAAATTGTAAAATCTGTGCAAAAACTCCCAAAATAAAGATCGACAACGAAATCACACAAATAGGAGTCTTTAAAAAAAAAAGAGATACTCAAGTTTATGTAAATTATGGTGCTCTTTAAAGAAAAAAAAATGAAAGAAAGAACATAATTTCTAGAGCAAACTATCTTTTAAACTTTCATGATTTCGGAATTTTTTATTTCACATTATTAATTTAAAATTCTAGCTAAAGTCAGTGATTACCGATTTTTAAAAAAAAAAAATCTCAAATGAGTATAGAAAAATCTTGATTATTTTCTTTACTCTGTGATGCACAAGAAAGACATATTTGAAAAAAATATTCTGCAGGAAAATAAAAACATTTTTTTGAAAATTTATGCTGAAAGGAGAACTAAAATTTTGCCCTTCCCAAATGAAAAATCTTTCTGCAAAAATTCTGTAACGTTCGGCGACAATGTTACCATGTCACTGCGATTCTGCCACAGGGCTAAATTGCATAGCATTAAAAATGAGAGAATTTTTGCCATTCAATTATGTGTTGTACCTGTGGGACAGCTTGTCAATAATTTGCTTGCAGTTGGGTTTAAAATTAAGCTCAGTAGATTAAATCATGGGTGCCACTCCAAAAAATTTTCAAGACTGAACTTATTTTTTTGACCAATCAACACAATCTAGAATTTACGAAAATTTTCAGAAATCTATAGCTCACCGTCTCCAACACGTACCATTCTATAGTAATAGCTCATATATTAAATCAATTATCTATTTTTTTTTTTACAGCAAACAGGATAAAATAACAGCTAACCTTGTACATTGCTTTACATCACTCACTGAATAATAAACCACTAATTATTTCATGAAGCTTTGCATCTCTATTTTTCACTTCAGTATTATTTGTTTTTCTTTTTTTTCTTTTCTTCAGAAAAATAATAATCTCAATTCAACTTTGACCACCATTTTAAAACATTGGGGAAAAATAAAAAAACAAGAACATTGAGATACAACAATAGTACAAATTTTGTTGAAGCAAGAAACGTTGAAGTTCAATCTCATTCTTACATTACTGAGCATTTTGGTACAATTATGAAAATTAACAATGTTTATCCTAAAATTTTATTGTTATTTGTAAATATTTGTTACATTTCCAAAATAAAACAGAAAATTTATTATTAAAAACCAACAGAAAAGAGGTATTAATTTATGACACTAATCTACTGATTTTATCTCAAGACTGATTTCAATCCCCAGGACTGAAGAGTGGCACGCATGTTAAATCTTGTTGATGGCAGTAGAATAAAACAAATATTCTTTCTTTCTTTTTTTTTGATGGTAGTACTTTTTAACACAAAACATACCATAACCGATCAAAAGACAGTTTCAGAGCTTTTGCATCGAAAATGAGCTTATCATCTTATCGTTTTTGCACATTTGACTTTTTCTAACAATTATATACAGTTAATATTCTTCTTTTTTCTCTTCTTTTTTTGTATTTTGCTTGTTTTGAATAATACTTGTCGTACCTATTTCTACATCAACCAGTCGCTTGACCGAGAGAACAATTTATTGCTTTATAAGTTTATTGGATCAGAAATTATTATGTAATAAGTGTTTAACATATTGCATTCAATTAATTGGACATTTCTGTAAAGACTGCTGCGCGTGAATTCAAACTGTGAATTCAAATTTCAAGAAAGTACCTAAAAGTTTAGATTGGCATTTTTGTGTCAGAAAAGTGACAAAAACTAAATGTTTTGGTAAGTAGGTTATATCTTAATTTATTAGCTTTACTACATTTCCAACTAACTGTTTGATTTTATCCAGAAAAATTTTGAAACAATCAAGACAGCACATATTCTAAGAAAAATATTAATTGTTATTTTAAATTAGTGACATATACATATTTGTTACTATTAAAAGTATCTTGCAGAAAGATATTAGTGCTAGAGAGAGTTTTGTCACAAAATTCTGCACACAGGGCTATCACACTAAAAGTACATCAGGTAGGAGGATAAGTAATTCAATTTTCCAAATGCATTTATTAGTTTTAACTACGCAAAATTATTATTAAACAACAAAATGAACATTTATGAAGCAATAAGTAAAACATACAAATTACTTAAATTGGAAACATTAATTAACAAATAATGAAAAATAAAAAATTAATAATAAGACTTTCACTTAAAAAAAATATATTACTATAAAAAATATATATATTCACTTAAATAAAATATATTATCATTTTAAAATGATTTTATGTAAAAAGAAGTATATTTACTCAATTCCGCAACAGTAAAATTCTTGTGAAAATGTTGACCCTGTAAAAAATAATAGTTGCACAAACAAGATTCAGTTGCAACAGATTATAAAAACAAAATTTATACACAAAATCCACATTAACCGCTTCCCTGATTAATAATTAACCGCTTCCCTGATTATCCCGAATTAACTCGGGTATGTATATGCTGCAAATATTCATTATCCCCGAGTAAACGCAGGCATAGCAGAATTTGCCAATACGTTTCGTTTTATCACGTTTTTATTCGATCGGAAGCAAAACAAATAATCTGCTGTGAAGTGTGTCAATTTTTATTTGGGAGTTTTGCTATTTGTGGGACGTGTTTTGTACAATTGTATATACGATGGTTGATGAATTTATGTAGGGAAAAAAAAGGAGCAAAAAAATGGCGCTTACGAGCAAAAGTGAAAGTAATGCAGATGATTTTTCATATTATGAAGACGTGAAACAAAGACTCATGTTTAACTTTTTTCATTTGCCCGATATAATTTAGGATAGTAAACTGGTAAAATAAATATTTCTTACACATAAAAAAATTAAAATTTCAACTAAGAACCTGTGTATTATGTTTCGTTTTAGTTCCTTGTACAGTACACTCTCGATTATCCGTGCGCGGATTATCCGGTTTGCGGATTATCCGTGCTCATTCCAGAGTCACACGAAAAATACAAAGATAAACATTTTAAAGATTAAAAAAAATTTTATTCATCAAGTTATAACACTACCACATTTTTGGAAGCAATATTGGTTAGTGGATTGAAGTATATCGAATATCAGCAGCATGGTCAAAGGTAAAATCGTCTACTTTATCACGATCTTGGAGAAAGATAATATCGCTTGATGAGCAATCTTCTTCAGATGTTCAAGAAAAATATGATAACAATATTCTAGAACAAGCAAAAGAAATCTGAGGTTTCGAAATTCTTGACGAAGAAGATTGGTTTCAAAGTGATGCATGTGAGCCTGTCTTACAGTATTTGACAGATGAAGACATCGTTATGTAGTTAAATCAAATAGTGATGATAGTAACTGATGCAGAAGATGTAGTAAATGAGAGAAATACAATTTCTATTTCTGCTGCTCTGTGGAAATTTTATTAGATTATATGCGAGGATTTGATTACGGTGACATTACTGCGTTTCGTAAAACATGTGTAAAACATATGACGAAGACGGATTACACAATTTTTAGAAGGAAAATTCCTAGTTTGATGTTATGCAGCATGCAAATATCAGTAATTTTTATATTTTTTGTACTGATATTGATTTTTTTCTCTAATTAAAAGAGTTTTCGGATTATCCGTGTTTTTCGATTCGCCATGCTCCCTGTCCCGGTGATTAACCCGGATAACCGGGAGTGCGCTGTATTTATTAATGAAATACAAATATATGTTGATTTTTGGCTTTTTTTTTTCTTAAAAAAAATTGGACAGGGAAGTGGGTAACATCCAAAGTTATATAATTGCATGAAACACAAAAATGTTTCGCTTGAAAAATTTTTTTTTAAATCTTATGGAGTAGTCCATACATTAATTCTTCATAAAATTTTGAGTAATACATATTCCTCAATGATATTATTTACAACTTTCCTCTACCTAATAATATTGTATTCAATTACAACCACTTTATGAGCTGATCATTATAGAAACTTATTGTGCTTATATTGACCTGAAGATATAAAATAATAAATTTCAAAATGATTAAATAAATATAGTTTTAAGTTTCCTTATTGCATATAGGGTCTAGCGTATAAATATTTGAAAAAATTATTTCAAATAAATAACTGGCCTGAATAATTAGCAAAATATACATAACTAATCAGTTTATTATAGATCAATTAAATATAGAATCATAATTAGTTAAAAAATAAAATTATTTTCATAACAAACTGTTATTCACTACGTAAATAATCTTTTTCTTTAGATATGAAAAAAAACTTTAAAGTTATGAAAAAAATTAATACCAACATTTATTTTATTTTGTAGTGCAAACGAAAATAGGGTGTATAAGGATATAAGAAATGATTAAAAAGCATGTTTCCATAAATTGACCACTTGTGTAAGTTAAAGAAAGGAAAAATAATTTAAAACCTCTATGTCAGCATGAATAGACCAAGTTCCAAATACAGGACTGTCACAAAGTTTAAATTCTGCAGATGCCATGCCTACAAAACAAATTTGTGTACATTTTAAAGTTCATCTAAAGTGTCACCTAAACTAAGAGAAGAAGAGTCAAAATAAATACCTCTTGTAGTGTACACATTTCTCCATTCTTGAATACTATTTTGGTGGCCATCCTAAATAAAATGAAATAATTAAAGACCTGCTGATAGAAAGAATTTCAGCAAATTCTGTTTAAGTATAATGAAGGTAAATTCTATGAAAAAAGAATTATAAAATACACAATTTTTAATTCTAATTACTTTGTTTAAAACAGAAAGTTTTAACAGTTTCCAACATGATTTTAATAAGGAAGCAACAACAATGACCCAGTGAGAATAGATGGAATAATTATAAAGTACTATTACAGTAAAAAAAAAAAATAGCCAGTATCAATTTGTTATATTCTCTCAGACCAATACCTATTTTTTTTAAAAAAAATTATAATAGAGTTCAAGAATTCCTTGATCAAAAAATTTAAAGTAGGGTTTAAATAAGCTTGAAATAAAAACACAGTGAATATGCTTCTAAAAAATTTTTTGTACAAAAGATAAGACAGTGGAAGATCATTCAAATCAGCATGATTACTGTACTGTTGAATTGAGATGGATAATTTTAAGAAACAGATGAAAAAAAATTAATATATAATCTCTGGCTAAATTAAGAGACAGACTGTAGTTTTTTAATAATGACATGTTTTGTACATGCTTATAGCAATATTTTTATATTCAGACATACATGATGCCCGAATTAATCATAATAAAAATTTGATAATGCAAATATGTTAATTTTAATTCTTTTTGCAAAATGACGAAATTCATAAAAAGTTTATAACAATGAATCCTTTGGAGAAGGCTATAGGCTTGAACCATGTATGTAATAAGTGAATTCCTAAATTTAAACAATCTAATTTCGTGATTTTTACAACCATTAAAATATTACATATTGGATTAATAATTCAAATGTTTTGATTTTTCATATAGATTATTCTAAAATCTGCATTTGTATTCACAGTAAATGAAGTAATGTGTAAAAAAAAAAATTCAGCAATATCAGAACAAAATAGTGTTAATCGCTAACACCAGGTTAACTGAAAATCCTGCAATTAGATTTTTGCACATAAAAATTTTCTAAAATACAACAGAAATCATTTTAGAAATGAGTGATGTTTCAGTGTCACTCATAAAACGTAAATATGAAAAGCATATTGGATATACATTTCAGAAATGTCTGGCAAATAACATCCATTTACAAATATTTTGTAACGACTTTATGTTTTGAATTAATGTCGACTTTAAATATGCATTAGAAGATTATTAAAATAAGAATAGTTACAGTTATTGTACATTCTTAAATGTATGTCTTTTACGATATAGCCAAGACAGTTACTTTCTTTAAATAATGCTTTTCTTTTGCATCTTAAAAAATAGAAAATATAATAATTTTTAAAGGGTGCCAATTCCAGTTTTCCTACAAGCACTGTTTGCTCTAAATACACATCTTCCTAAATTTACGAATTAAAAAAACACATATTCTTGCAATTTTTTCTATTAACACTATCAATAAATAAATAAAAAGAAGTTAACAAGGCAATTTTTAGGAACTACTTACTTTTACCAGAAGATGAATAGGGATTTGATTAGTTTTTGGCAACAAATACGGTGTCACAATGATTGCTCTGAATTGCACTGCAAAAGAAAAATTTTTAATTCATTTCAGTAAGTTCACTTTCCATAGAAGTTAATAAAAGAAATAATGCTGTAAAAATATAAAGAAATATTTTATATCAGTTTCTTTTAAAAAAAAAAAAAAACTTCTTTATGGTCATTATAGGGCAAAATTATGAAATTTAAAAGTTTTTACAATGGTCACTTATAAAAACATGTGGCCACTTTTTCATAAATTTTAAGAGATTGAAATGATATTAATAATTCTCTTTATAAACAATTCTTAAAAGATTGTAAACATTACAAGGTTCATTTCTATAACAAGAAATTATTTTTAGAAAATATTCATAATTCAAAATTTATTTAATAAAATGGGGGTGAATTTTTGACGAAAAAGTGAAAAACTAATTTTCAAATACTGCTTATTAGGTTTACTCCTCCTGAGGCGATTTTGCCCCAATAATTGCCACCAATTTAATAAAACAATAAGTAAAGAAAATAAATAGAATGTATGTTTATAAAATGGTAGAATTCATTAAAATTGGAGAAATGACTAAAATGCTGAAAAAGGTTTTTCCATTAAATCAAACTAGATTTTTGGTGTATTACTTTTGACAATTAAAAGTTTCTTTAATGTTTTTCAGTTAACTTATTATTTATAACTTAGGAATGAAAATGAAACACATTTTGCACTTGTGTTTTTTTTTTTTTAATTAATGGCATACATGAGGGCAATGATTACTTTTAACACAACCTACTGAAATGAACTAAATTAGTTTTAGAATTTTTTTGAGCTATCTGCAACAAAACTCTCCAGCACAAATATCTTTCTGCAAGGTACTTTTCATAATAACAAACATATAAGTTACTCATTTAAAATAACAAAAGTTTGTTTTAAAAAAGTGTTTATAAAAAAAAACTATATATTTTTACTTAATTGAACGTGTAATAATTTTTTACTCTAATATAATGGATGATATTCTCGCATTTTGTTGGGGATGGAACGCACAAATTACTTCTTTCTTCACATTCTGTAAGTAATCCAATAACAATAAAAAAATAATTTAAAATCATTAATTCGTAGTAGTAATTGCCGAAAAAAGACAGATGACGAAATCGGGCGAATCGGACTACTCAAATGCGTGGTTCGTTTCGAGATTAGGTTGTAATAATAAATAATATCATATACAAATATCGGATTTAAAAACTATGGATAAATCAATAGCAATAAATGGCAAAAATTTGATTGAAATATTGCCTTAAAAAGTAAATAATCAAATGCACAATTTGAATTATTCATATTGTTCGAAATACATTGGGATATTTGAAATGCACATGAAAATCAATATCAATAGTTCGTGTCAATATCAATAACTGCCGAAAATACAATTACATCGATTTACAATACTAATTTGCTAAATACAATACTAATTGGCTTTACAATACTAATTGGCATAAATTGGGCATGTCAAAAAGTGGTTATCTAAATGCATGATTCAAATATTACGTGCAAATTTCTGTAGAAAAGAAAAGTTTTTCTTTTTTAACTTTTCAAAAGAAAAATCTTTCTGCAAGAAGTGTGTACCATTCTGCGATATTGTCGCCGCATTGCTGCGATTCTGTTATGGGGCTGTTAACCCCTTAACTTGTACGCTCGGGTTAATTCTAGCATGCTAAACAGGACAAACTGTGCACACTCGAGATCATTCAAGCAGCATTGTATTTTATGCTGCTATAATTTTTTACACTCTAATATAATCGAGAATTGAAAATAGCAATTTGAAAGCTAAGAAAAAATATTGTTTTATTGATATTTATCATTTACATAGGATTGTAAGCTATAACATTTATTTAAGAATAAAAGATTATTAAAGGAAAAGCTTTTTTAAAAGAAGCTTTTCTTTTGAGAAAATGCATGGCCAAAAAATTAACATTCATACAAGATTTTAAAGTTAAAATAAAAAAAAAATTTTTTTTGACTAGAAAAAGTGAATAGTAACAAAACTATTTAAAATCTTTTTAAATAGTTTTGTTAATCAAAATGCATCAACAAAATTGACAGTAAAATTGTTTTTAACAAAAAATTTTAACCATTGTTTACAACTACTATTAAGAATGTAATTTTAAATACAGTTTAAAATCAAGATTTGTTTGATTTAATAATTTGGCTGAGAAGAGAAGAAAAAAAACATCTGGGTGTAAGCAGCGAACTTTGAGAGGCTTTGTAAAATTTCAAAATTAGCGTACTTAAGGGGTTTTTTTCTCTTAGCCCTTAAGAATATGGGTAACATTATTTTAAAATATGGAAACATCTTTCAAGCATAAAAATTTTTCTGTAATTAAGGAGTCTTGATAATTAAAAATAAAATGTGGTGAAGAACACTATACCTAATTGTCCAGGTTTATAAACTGGTCTATCAGTTTGAATGAAAACTGAATAACTTTTGTATTCAAACTGCAATTTTGTCACATTCCTAATATTGATTCCACCTTCACCAACTACTTCTAAACTGTAATCACCAGGCTTGAAGTCAAACAACTGAAACAAAAAGTATTTTTAAAAAGGTAACACTATTCAAGTGCAAAAAGAATTCAGAGTAACACTATGTGATTCAAAAATAAAAAGGAAAATTACTAATATAAAAAAGTGACATCAATTACTAGCATAACAAAGGTATTTTTAAACATTTCTTTTTTGGAATTTATTAGTTCAAAATTTAAAAACAGATGTTTCAGAAAAAAAATTTCTTTTTCAAAAATTAAAAATATTTTAGTGTTTATAGTCATTTAATAAAATCATTATCACTATTTTTGAGAGTCACATAGCCTGCAGATTGGAAAGAAAAGGTTTTATCATTTCTAATAACGCATCCCTAGATAAAATTTATCATTCTTTATTGCTTAAAGATAAGAAAGTAAGCCATCTAGAAATCATAAATAGATAAAATTAAATTACAGGATTATTACTACACCCTTTTTAGAAATTGAAGGGTACAGGGCTGTCTTAATAGCAGGTAGGGGACTTGAGCACAGAAATGTAATAACATGTCATACTTCTTAGAGAATCTGACTAAAAAAACTGCATTTATATAAAATAGAACTTTAAAAAAAATTGAGATGATAACCAGTTGCAATCTTTGAATAATGAAATAACTTTGAAAATCGTGGAAGCTAATTGTGGGAAGAGTAGATATCGACAATGTCAACCTTCATCTATGAAAAGGTACCCCTACTTAGAATAGAGTCTTATATACTGGGAAATTGGAATTGTATTTTTGTAGTGGTAGAGACATTACACTACTCGTCCACCAGATTCATTGCTGCTTTGTGAGAAACCGAGAGAGCTGTATTAAGATCACTGTACTTTTGCTGATTGCGAGAGCTGTATTAAGTTTACAGACGTGGTTGCTCCTGTATTGCCATTAGCAGTAGAGTGTATGCAGGCCAATATTGTGTGTGATCGAGACTGAGTAGCAACAGCGTGAGGAAGACAATGTCGCAGTCACAAGTAGCAAGTAAACTTTTCAATGTGGAGCATCTATCGAAGTTGGCATGTTCAGATTGAAGTGAGTGTTAAGGTGAAGATAGGCGTGTACATATCCAAGTGGGAGTTTCTGTCGAGGTTGGCATGTTTACATCGCGTCCGGCTCACCAATGTGGGAAGTGTCGTTATTGATAATGTCACCTATGAAAAGCTACCCCATCATAAAATCGAGTTAACATGTCTTTTATACTAGGGAATTGAAATTGTATTTTTGTAGTGTTAGATACACTACACTAATCAAAATAATTACTTTTTTGAAAAAAAGCATAAAGGTATAATAAATGGAGAAAAAAATCAAAAGGTATGAATTATTTTGTCAAATTTAGAAGTTACTAAAACATCTTTCAATGCACATCAAACACAACCAGTTTAAAAGGTGCTATCCCATGTGTAATTCCAAACTTACCGTTATTACTTTATTTAACTAATTATAAATACTAAATAGAGTTGATGGTGGTCAAGGATTTTTAGAGACATTAATACTCAACAAAAAACTTGCTCACATTAATTTATAATGCTAACTAATTTTATAATACTGATTAATACTAATCAGTTTATAATTACTGTGATATTTTTTCAGAAAAGTGATAATATGTCAACATCTAAGCCCAGAGCGGGATTCGAACTCGCAGTCAGGCACGCTAACTATTCGGCCACCTGCCCGGCCTAGTAGCATTGTACATAATAGCCAAATGGAAATTGGCCCAAAGTCTCACGATGGATTAAGAATAAAGTTTGATTTAGTTAACAACAATTAGGCTAGCTATTATAAAGAAATATTCAATACCAACCTCAAAATCCATTATTTCTGATTGTCCTACAAGGAAAAAAAAATCCAAAGTGAAAAAAGATAGCATAAAACAACTTAATGTAAAAGTTAAAATAAATATGTATAAGTTAAAATGTGAGTAATAAATGTAAAACTTAAAATAAATAAATTAGTCAATAAAATATAAACAAGACAACATTAATCAAATTAAAAGTATATTTAGAATTTTAAAAAAATTAAATAACTAAAATATTTAAAATATAATTATTTCAGTGCTAAAAATGCTCTTTCTGTTAACTAAATATTTATTAAGTGAAAAATAATACTTTCTTAAGTCAGATTTTAGGTGATAATTATATCATGGCTGTCAATCATTTATAATTTCTTATAAACAGTCTAACTAAAATATCTACTCCGATAAAGTAAATAATAATATATCATGATAATATAAGAGTAAATAATAATATAAGAGGCCTGTTGAAAGCATAAATAAAACCGAGATGTAGCTATTTATTTATTGAAGAACAAATATAAAATATTTAAAAATTATACAAAAAATCCGATCTCGCTATAATTTTTGCTGAATTTTATAAAATGATACTTAAAAAAAAAGTGGAAAGTAAGAAGAAAAGCGGATACTCAAAAGCCAGTACTCAAGTAACATAAAATTCTTTTTCTTTACGATGTTCTTTAAATTTAGCTTTATAGTTTTTATTACAGGGTTCGTAGCCAAATCTTTCAACGAAAATTAAGCACGGCTTAAGTAATTTTTAAGCAGTCAAAAAATATTTTTAAGCACTATATACATTAACAAAATGCAAAATAATTTTCAAAGACTTTACATGATCATGGTAAAATAACTAGTTTCTGACAAAGAACTCTTTTCTTGATTATATTAGCCATTATAAAAAGATCGAGATACTTTCTCAGCTCGATATCAGAGTGGAAAATGAAGCCTGAAATTGAGAGTATCTTATAAAATGTAACACATGGAAAGAGCAATAATCTCACTGAATCCAGCTCAGTAGACGCACGTGCGGACTCGCCTCGCAAGTATTTCATCAAACATGTAAAATGATGGGCGCTTTCATACGCTATGAACTGACGGTACGCCGAAATGGATTCTGGTTGAATGAATTTTGAAAACATTGAATAGAACAATGTGATAAAACACGTTTTTACATAATACGTGGTGAAAATCAACATGGTAAAGAAAAAAATCTCCTTTTCAAAAATGGAAAATTAAGCACTTTTTAAAAACACCCTATGAAAGAAACACCTTTAAGGGGTTTATAAAAATCAAAAATAAGCACCTTTAAGCACTTTTTAAAAATTCACCATGTATTATAAACAAGTACAGAAATGCTTAAAACAAAAAACAAAAAAAAGCAAAAAATATTACTTGGTTCAATATGACGATTTTTCATAATACTTATAGGAATTCCATCTTCATTTGTACCAAATAGCTTCAGAGTAAAATCTGCAGAAGTAAGGGCTTCGTGAAGAGTAATACTGACATGGTAAACAGTATCTGGTCTCAGCTTCGAGGGAGCAACAACTGTATAGAGACCCTGCTGGCCTAAAATACTAGAAAGTATCTGACATTAATTCTCTTTCATCTGTTATTTAAAACAAAATGCTATATAAACACCCCTGTAGCAGAATTTTTTTGGAGCTATCTGTGGCTCTAGCACAAATGTTCTGCAAAATACTTTTAATTATAACAAAGATATATGTTACTCATTTGAAATAAAAATACACTATGTTTACAAAAGGAATTTATAATTTTTTTTTTAAAATCGAACATGTAATATTTTATTTTAATAGTATGGATAATATTTTTGCATTTTGTTGGGGAGTAAACGAATGTGTTTTCATAAATGATTAAAATTTTTTAAATAATCATCACAATGAAAAAAATAATTAAAAATCATGAAATCCATAGTAGTGAAGGCAGAAAAAAGATCGATGATGAAATCACGCAAATCAGACACGTCCACGTGTGTTTTTTTTTTCGAGATTAGGTTGCTGTAATAAATAATATTGTATAAAAATAATGCATTTAAAAACTTTGATAAATCAATAGCAATAACTGCCAAAAATTCGATTGAATTATTTCCTTAAAAAGTAAATAATCAAATGCACGATTTGAATTCTTCATATTGTTTGAAATATATCGGGATATTTGAAATGCACGTGAAAATCAATATCAATAGTTTGCGTCAATATCAATAATTGCCTAAAATACAATCGAAACATTACATCAATTTACGCTACTATCGGCGTAAAGTGAGAGTGCCAAAAAGTTAATATCTAAATGCATTATTCAAATATTAAGTGCAAATTTTTTGTAGAAAAGAAAAGTGGCATTTTTTACTTTTGAAAAGAAAAATCTTTCTGCAAGAACTCTAACGTTCTGCGACAATGTCGTCGTGTCGCTACAATTCTGCCACGGGAGGCAACACAAGATTTAAATACTGTTTGGCATATTTCAAGCATATAACTAAAATTGAGAAAAGAAAAGAAATGTGTGTGCATAAAAGAAACTTCAGAATCAACTTGGGTTAACAAAGGGCTTTAGATCAGGGGTTCCTAATTTTTTTTTCGACAGTGGAAACTTATTCAGGGGTGCACAACCTGCTGACCATTGATGTGCGGCTCACGGGAGCTTCTGAATACATAGAAAAATTAATATTATTATTTTGAAAAACAACAAATTTTGAATCACATTTAAGTCTTCACTTTTTTCACAAACTTAATTTGCACAGATTCTACAGCAACTCTGTATAGTGTTTCAATCGCTTTTTCAGCGATTATTGCTACTGAATTTCGTACCATTTTAAAAAATTCAATATTTCTAATACAATATTACAATGCAGAAATTTTAATTTTCAGTAATCCCCTTTTGACTAACTTTTTATTATAGTTTTCTTCATAAATCCAAGCGTCGTTTCGAAAGTTTTTTCGGCAGATATAACAATCAATTTCCATGCGGTTTTTAAAATCCAGTCACATTTAATACAATATTCTAACTCATTGGTTATGAACCACACATTAATTTCATAACTTTTTATCACTAAGAGGATATTTCTATATCACGATCGGTCGCACCAACTACAATCGCCAAGATGCAAAATAGATTTTAAACTTGTGTTTAAAAGAAAAAAATTTTAATTTAGAGGTTTGCCTGAGGGTAGTTAAACCCTTCAAGCTATCTCTCAAAGAAGATTTCGGTAGCAGAATTATCACAAAGTCTTGCCAATTTGTGCCCAGTCTTGCCAATTTTTGTGCAGCTGCCCATGAGAATCTTAAAAATAAAATAAAAATAACAAAACAGGAGCAACTCAAAGAGCAGACCTGCACCTAATTTATTTATTATTTATTTTTTTTAATTAAGTTTAAAATCTGTTTGGCGGCTTAACTGTTATAGTTGGCGCAACAGACCACAATACGGAATTGTTTTTTTAACTTTTCCTGTGAAAAAATTGGCAACTACTCACAGAAATCTTCCTAAGATTAAAACAATCATGAAAAAAAGCAGTAGATATTTACCAGTTAATGAGTACAGCTATTAAAGCAAAAAAGAATCCGTACATTTTCATATCTGCAATATAAAGATAGATTATCAATATAATAACGAGAAAAAAAACCAACTTAACATAGTTTATTTTGCACAAAATAAATTACTCTAAACAAAGCCTTGCATTTACTACAACAACCAACCTGTTACTTCCAAATCACTTCTAACTCTGTAATAAAAAGCGAAAGACAAAAATTAATTGAACTTAAAACGAAAACGTTAAAAATATAATTATGCCAATAACAATATTGGTCATAATTCTTAACATTCTTTTTTCTTTCGCAGTCAAAAAAATAACTTCACTTTCGAAACGTCGAAAGCAAAAGGTAAATAAAGAAAATAAATTAGTAAATAGAACACAACTCCTCAATAGAGAATTGATAATTTCCAAACTTTCAACTTGTAAAAACTTTTAAAATATAAAAGTCTGCAATCATAAAAACGTAACGTCACATATTGATAAAACTGACAAAACTTTTTGAACGAGTCGGAAAAAAATAATATTTCGAACCTCAAATAGCAGAGCTCGAATGAATGCCTTTCAGGCGTTAATTTTTTTTCCTACGCTAAGAACCTTTTAAGGACAAATGAAAATAAAAAATGGGTGTAACGCAGGTAATGACGCAGAAGTGAAGGTCTTAGGTAGGTAGGTACTTTATTTACGTCACAGTAGAGCTGCACAATGGACTATTGGAGACGGTGATCTCTGAGAATCCGAGGGGATGGCTCCCCTGCTTTGATAACAAGACTAATGAGGATCAATACACATACATCACACTCTTGGTCCCTACGCAGGCTCATCAAAGTGGTTGCCTACCCGCATACTGTGTAGGGATCAAGGGTGCGTGGTATTGGTCCTCTTTAGACTGTTCTACCGTAAAGTGCTCGACTTAGCACGCAGTTCGTCGGGTTACCAAAGCCGGGGATCCCCTGCGTTAGGGATGATTCCCAAAGGATGATCCTCAAATAAGGGGATCCCCTGCAGAGTATAAAAATTGCTGTTGTTGTTGTTAATTTACGTCGCACTAGAGCTGCACAATGGGCTATTGGCGACGGTCTGGGAAACATCCCGGAGGATGATCCGAAGACATGCCACCACAATTTTGATCCTCTGCGGAGGGGATGGTACCTCCGCTTCGGTAGCCCGACGGCCTGCGTGCGAAGTCGAGCACTTTACGGTAGCACAGTTTAACGAGGACCGATACCGCACACCCTCGGTCCCTACGCAGACTGATCCAAGTGGTCACCCTCCCGCACACTGACCGCAGCCAGTGATGCTTGACTTCGGTGATCTGCTGGGAACCGTGTCTTAACGATCACTGCGAGACATAAAAATTGCGATGGCATATCTTCGGATCATCCGGATCATTCGGATGTTGCCCAGACCGTCGCCAATAGCCCATTGTGCAAATACTTCATGGCCAATGTGCAGCTCTAGTGCGACGTAAATAAAGTACCTGCAACCTACCAAATTTTGCATTGAATTAGTATAAATTTTCTCTATTCTGATCATCTGGTATCCTCAGTCCTCCATCATCATCATCAATCTCAACTCATCATCCTTAACTCAACTATCTCACAGCACAGAGGGGTCTCCCTTGTCGAACGGTATCGCCCGTCAAACGCAGTGTGAAGTGTGGAGGTGGCGGGTTCGAATCCCGTCGCAACCCTACTGGGATGTTCTATCCGTTCAAGGTTTGACAAAGGCTTATAAGCCTAAATTGAGAAAGCAAGCCTGCAAAGCACAAGCGAAAAAAGGAAAAAGTAGAGAGCCTCCTCATTCGACTCAGAACTCGCTGAAAAAATTGTCCTGCAAGGTTATTTTTAAATTATTTATTTCAATGTCTGTTTTTCAAAAAATTTATTTTTATTCTATGCCCCAATGTGTGTAATAATATACTTATTTGTTTGGTTTGTGAAAAGTAATTACAAATCGAAGCAACTCAAAAACCACAACTGCTTGCTTCGCTTTGTAATGAACAAATTCCAACCACAATTTTATTTTGACGTTTAAGATTGTATGTATGCGTTTTAAGAAAGCCTTTTTAAAAAAAAAATGTATTATAGATTTACTTTTGTTAAAATTATTTTTTAACTCTTGCATCATTCACAAGATATTATTATAGTGTAATTTGTCATCAGGAAAATACCTTATTTTTGTTAAACAGCCAATACTAAAGGTTGAAATTTGTAAAAAAATTCCAAAGCCGGGCGATTTTCGGAATCATCATTTGATTTCAAATATGTGATAAAAAATACAATTTTTTAAACTATTTTGATATTAAAAAAAATTCGCAGCGAGAAGATTAACATACTTTTTACAGAAACTATGAATACAAATTTTTCCTCTGTTTCTTCAGAAGAGGATAAGAGTTTTATTGTTCTAAGGATACTCAATAATTTCAGCATTTACAGAATTGAAATCAAGGACGAAGCATGCTATTGCTTTTTAGCTAAAATGAGAAACAATTTAGCTATTATTATTTATGTTCCAATAATTTGTTAACAGCTGTATCAAGGTAAAGGATATGTGATGGAAATACCATTTACTATGACACTATAAATACTCTAAATCTTAATGATTGAGTAATTTTTTTTAAGCAAATAAGGATGTAAAAATAAACTCTTCCAAAATGTACCTTAAGCATGTTTTAAAATATATCTAGAATAAATTTTGGAATGAATAAAAAAATATATAATTTTCAAACAATTTCGAGTGGGACGGTAACATTAACTTGTTTGAAATAAAAGTCCTTGTAACTGTATAACTTTGCTTCTTTTTGCTAGGGGACTTTCCATTTTCTCATTCAACTTTTGAAATTTCAATTGTGAACAGTTTTTTTTACATCCTTAAAACATATGAAGGCTGGCAGTAAAGAAATAATTGTATTGTATTGAATTTTTTAGAAAGTAGTAATTAATTATTATTCTTTCAATCTAAGACCCTATGCCTTTATTTTATATATGTTTTTATTTATATATATCGTGAGCGTTGCAGGTGGGGGGTGCGAGAAGTCCAGATCCCCTTAATATTTGGTGAGTTAGAGTCCTACTTTTTCAGAAATTTTTTAAAAATTTTCCATAAAAAATAAGAAAATAAATGTGTTCAAAAATAATATAATTGTTAATGTCACTCTGACCTTTCTCTCAAATCAGCAATAACAGCTAATCAGATAGGAAGGGTAACTGCAATATGCAAAAAATAGTTTAGTCAGGAGAGCAGACGAAAGTTAGGGCCTCGTACTGTTAATTTTATTTGTGTATTTTCCCATGTCTTGTAGCAAATCGAAAATTTCTTATATACAATTATTTAATTCCTTTATCCAAAGATATTTCTACATGCATTATAATTTTTAATAATTATTTACTGCATTTCATTGTTATTTAATAATAGTTGAAAAATTGGGAATTGTTAGGCATAAAATTTTTTGCATATTCTTAGATTGTAATAGTAAGTTGCAATTTGACACATTTTTATTTATAAGTATTTAAAATTTTTTACTACAGAATTTGGATTTTTAGCAGTAATTTTCAAAATTAAAGGAGTTTAATGTTAAAATAATTCAAGAACATAATTGTTGGAATGCTTGTAATTTTATATATATGTTAATTTAAAATTACTTCATATTTATAATAGCTAATAATTATCCTTTGGCTAAAATTTTGGGTACCCAGTCAGAACATATAAAATAATGATATAATAGATTACTTTGAGAGTTTAGTTCTTGTCAATTAAATTGTAAAATATTGCCGCCAAAAAGCAATAACTCGTATTAAAAGCAAGTATTTAACATTACTAATTATTGTAAAGCTTTATACTTAAATTATTATCAATTTATAATTGTATGTGAAATATTTGTTCTGTAACTCTTGCTTTAGACCTTCAAATATGTATATCATATTTATTAATAAATAGGGGCTTAAAAATTACAGAAATGTTATATTCCTTTCTCAATGAACAAACCAATCCCGTCGCCATCTTGCTTTTATTGTAATAATCTGGAATTTTATTCAATTTAAAAATAAATAAAAAATTGAATCTACTGTTTTTTTATAGGCAAATTTGTCACTTGTGCTGGCAAAATTGATAAATACCTTTATTTGCTTCTAGTAATTAATTTACATACTGAATGTACGCCTCAATTTTCAGCTCCATACATTTGTTGAAACGTTTCATCAAAATTCCCTGTCATAACATAAAAGAGTTTCCTTTTTCTGTACTGTTTGTATATTTTCATAAGACTATAAATTACAGCGTCAAGACTAGAGGAATGTTTTATTGGTGGTGATGTCTGCTTTCTTGCCAGAAACTGATAGTGAAGATGAATTGCCACCAGGGTGGGAAGAACGTGCCACTTTAGATGGTAAAGTTTATTATGCCAAGTGAGTTGATTAATCATATTTGTTATTGCTAACATTTTAGATTAATAATTGATTTCAATGACATGTTTGATAGAAACAGATAGTACTACATTTTAAAACAACTATTACTTTTAAGTTTGCAAAAACATTTTACTTTATCTTCACTTCATTTAACCTCAGGATATTAGTTTTTATGGTACTTTTCTGTTAAAGGATGTCTTAAAAAACTTAGTAGGTACCTCAAAGTCTTTCTTCATACCTCATTCTTTTCTTCTGTAAAACTTTTTTCTGTATGACCCAGTTGAAAATGTTCTCATTATTAAAATAACTTTTAATGCAGTTAAATGCATGTTTTTATTAAACTCAAGCTGAAATTTAACTATGGACAGTAATTTTTATGAATTTTGAAGTTTAGATAAAATTTTTAGCTCAAAATTTTTTATTAATAGCAATGATTTTGTATTTGACAGTGTATATGACAATGTATTTGACAATGTATGGGGAAAAATACATAGAAATTTACCAGTCATAAAGGATTTTTATTTGTAGTGACAAATTTTTAAAATTTTTTCTTACTTTGCTATATTTTTGTGTTTATTTTTTAATATATAGTTTTTAATTCCCACAGGTTATGCTTAAATTATCACAAAATAGGTACCTCTTAAAAAAACCTAGACAGATCTCTGCTAAAGAATTAGTAATAAATAACAAACGTGATTAAAAAGCGACTAATGATGAAGATGGAATCATACTTTTGGATCCTGAAATTACATTATAAATGCTATTTAGTAATTTCAAATATCTCTTAATTAAAAACTAGTATGTCATTGTTCAATCAGGGTATAATTTACAAAGGATCATATAACTAAGTTTTCATATTTTTATCCCCTTCCCTTGTTTTCTCTCTACCACTGCCGTTAAACCATAGTGGCCTCAGACGATAGAGCATTCGCCTTCCAATCAGGTGAACTGGGTTCGAATCCCAGCGATGGCTGGTCGATACAAATTCTGCAGCCGGTTCGAAACGACCACAGTGCTGATGTAAAAAAATCCCCAGTGGTAGGATAAATCATGGGCTAGAGTCCTCTTGCCGTCAGGCTAGCCGTGGAAGGTTTTCATTGTTTTCATCTCCATGTAAGGCAAGTGCGGGTTAATTCCATCAAAAAGTTCTCCATTTAGGTGAATTTCTCTCATTACTGGATCCAGGAGTTCCCTTGTCTTCTGGATTGGATTTAAAATGACAAGGCTACGGAGTTAAACATTGGTAGTCATATACCCAAAATTGTGTCTACTGTTCAACCACGGTTGCAATAATTTTAGTATTCCACTGCTATTAAACAGAGAATATCTACTTTTCGATTAGTCAAAAATAGTTCAATCGAATTTAACCATTGAAGTCAATCTTGCTGATTATGTGACACGAAACATTCATTATGTTACAGTTGAATCAGGAAACATACATTTTTCGAATAAATTGAGTGGACCAGTAGTTCAATCGAATTTTGTTTTAGTTGTATAAGGATCTATATAGGAATATAATTATTTTTCCTTAGAAAAAATTTATAAATCTGCTATAAATTTCATTTTGATAAATTAAAATATAGGCAAAAAAATTTTTTTAGATACTATGTATAATAATTTTTTGCACTTTGTCTTTTAATTTTTGTTAAATGACAAACTATCACCTTTTTGTTTTACACTGAGGAATAATTTATCTATTATTAAACAGAAACAGATTTTGTATTTGCCAATGTGTCAAGATATTTTTTAATGCCCACCTTTTTTGCAAAAGCACCTCTATTTCAAATATTTCAATTAATAATTTTATTTATTTCATCTGTTTAATTATCAATTTCTAATTGAATAGTGATTGAATAATATTTTGAAACATAACAGTATATTTATTTTTCTTAATTCCAAAGCATATTTTCCTTGGTTATAATAAACATCTGATATTTGGTGTAATTCAATCCAATACTTTTCTTGTAATTAGACTAAAATATCTTTTTTACTATATATTTATTTTAAACTTTCACTTACTGTTAGTACAAAATAAGTGTTTTTTTTTTCAGTCATGTTTCTAAAAGTACTCAATGGTCTCATCCCAGAACTGGAAAAAAGAAAAAAGTGTCTGGAGGTCAGTTTTTTTTAATCTTCATTTCTATGCACTATATAAGCACACCGGACAAAAAATTAGTCACCCTTAGAGAAATCATGAAAGACATAATTTAATAATGTGTAACACCACCTCTGGATTTGACTAACACCTGGATTCAGATAGGAAGTGAATCCACAAGGTTTTGCAGGTACATTGAATCCAGCCACTCACTGAGGATTTGATTGCACAAATCCACCAAATTGCGACGATGCTGATTTCGGCGTTTTACCCTTTGTTCCAACATGTCCCACAATTTTTTTATGGGGTTCGAGTCAGGTGATTTTTCGGGCCAGTCGAAATGTAATTTAGTGTTCATAAAACCAGTCACATATTCTTCCAGCCTGATGAACTTAGCTGTTGTCATCTTGAAGAATAAGGGTATCGACTCTCAATGAAGATGTTGACACCTGGTGATCCTGAATGTTTAAATAAACTCGTTGGTTCATGTTAATGTCCACCTCAGTAGGGGGGGAGGGCTAATCCATAATAAGAAAAACACCCCCAAAACATAACAGATCCACCTCTGGCTTGAACGTGACCTTGCACACAGTCAGGATAAAATGCTTCATTTGGTCATCGGTGCCCTCGACCACATGCTTCATTTGAATAAAGGCATCAGTGTGTCATCTATGATTCATTGGTGCTTACGCTCTAGGGTGACTCATTCTTTGGCTGCTGAGCTTATCATCAATTAAAATTTTTTTAGTTATTAGTAATCTATTATTACTTTTGAAATTAAAGTGTGATATATGAGGCATGACATTTTAGATCATGTCGCATGAATACATGGTGGGACAGCTTGTCATGCACAATTTGTCGGAGTCACAGTTCGAAATGCAAACGAGTTCTAAACTTTTTGTCCTCTGTTTTAGTATTTATATTTAACCGATGATGTCCTTAAGGTCAGTCCGTGATGTGTGTTGCCTCGGCTGCCCGATATTCTTAATTTCTTCACAGGTACAAATTAACTCGCAACTGCATCTAAGTATCAAGTCATGTGCAGACAGCATTGTTTAGGTTGTTGTAAATTTGAATAAACCGACTTGTCCGTACTACATTGGTTCTTAGTTTATGCAACTCTTTTCTCTGTCTATACTGTGAGCACTTGTAAATATATGGTTTATGAGGTTTCTTTAAATTAATGTTTTAAATAAACGTAAAGCTTTATCGTTCTCTGTTTGTTAGAAATAATCACGCTCTGCTAACATCAGCTCATGATGATTCCCTTTACAAAATCTGTTTCTCAATTTCCAATGGGCACAACTCTTTGCCCCGACTATTCGTTGTGGGCAGAGTTCATCGTAAGCACAATTCGTAGCAAGCACAATTCTTGTCATCGCCACCTCAATTCTTTATCAGCACAATTTCATGCAGTGCCTTGCAAAAGCTCCTTAATGGGAATAGTTAGGGGGAGGGGAGAAGTGTGATATTAAATTAAAGATGATTGTACTATATACATACACATTGTAGGCCCCCTAATAAGCATATAAGTATTTCCTCTGGTGGGGTACCCAGTAATATAATACGTGGTCCAGTATAAATATTATTGGACAGTATTAAGGGGAGATATATTTTATTTTATATCCGTTGTTGAACAGCCGACCCAATTTTTTTGTGTTTACAACTACTAATGTACAACTGTAATTTTAAACCAATCCAAAAAACAAGTAAACTCCTGGATCAGTATCCTCAGAGGTATTGATTTGTTATGGGAACATAGAGGACTTTGCGACTCGACAGATTTAACGTGCATCAGTCACCATTTACTACACCACAGACTTTTGGACATGAACCCAGTGCCCTACCAACCAGGCTATCCCTCCCCAAGGGGATATATATGTTGCAATACAGAATACCCCACAAAATAGTTTTCTGAAAATATTTGTATTAGCACGTTTTACAGGGAGGACATATTCACCAGATCCTTATTTTGACGTGAACCAGAGCATGATCCATCTCCGATCCAGTACCCCCGGAAGTATTGATTTGTTATGGGAATTTGAAGGACATATTTAGCACAGACGTCTTCAGCCGGCTAGGATCGAACTCACGGGCCCGACGCTCTGTTGACCGGCCTGATGCTTCTGTTGATAAATCAGAGTATAAAATTCATAAGTATAAAAATAGTGTATATAAAATTCATAATAATTTTATATATTTCATTAGAGCTGCCTCACGGATGGGAAAGAAAAATAAGTGACGATGGAAATGTATTTTACGTTGAGTAAGTCTTTCAAAGTTTACCTTTCTATTTACTCCTTTTAGTAAAAGGAATCATTAATGTTTATCAACAAATGTCCAAATCTATCTCTCTCCCAAACCTTGTATCTTAAAGACGAATTTGTTAATTCATTGAACGATTAAATTGAGGAAAATAATTTGGTTCTTATTGAATTGAGATTCCAGCCCTCCACTTTTTTATCCAAAAAAGGTTGTCTAGTTATCAGTATGAGATAGATATTGTTCCTAACTCACAAATAGGGTCTTTTTTTAACTTCTCAAGAGCAGGTGTGGCCATCTCTCCCCCCTCCCCCCCCAAAAAAAAAGTCAAATAAACCTCCATTTCAAAATGCAACTGTCTAGATCAGTGTTTCCCAAAGTGTGGTACGCGTACCCCCAGGGGTACAGGAAGAGTTCAGAGGGGGTACGCGTTCTTATGCTAAATATCTTGCAACAAGCGAAAATTTCAAAAAATTTTATTTAAAAACAAAGTTAGCCATAAAAGTTTACGATTACGAATTTTTCTATTGCCTATTTTTTGCAGAGTTAACAGTTAATTAGTGGTGTCAACAGCCAGTTGTGATTTTTAACTTTTGTGCAGTTTTTTTATAGTAAAAAATTTATTCCCTTTTTTTATTAGTGGTACACAATGTTACGAAAAATTTAGAAAGGGTACTCAAAAGTCAAAAGTTTGGGAAACACTGGTCTAGATAGTATCTATACATAATATTTTCAAAAGTATATATTTTGCTTGTTCATTTCTCAGAATTTTCTATTTTTTATTTATTTTATTTTTTAAAAATTTTCCAAGTACTTCATATCTTTAGCAATATTTTGTAAAATATTGTGGAAATATTGCCTGATTGACATGACTTATAGATTGTTTGAAAAGTAAATGTGAAAAATGAGTCAATTTTATTATAAACTATGATTGAACAGAAAAAATATTTAATAAAGTTCACATTATTATTTTGGCAGTCTCTTTAGAAACTCTACAAATATTTTTAAATAAAATTTTCTTCCTGATGAAATATATAGATACTTTACCTGTTTTTATTTTATTTGTTTACTTATTTTGAGATTATGAAGTTTTATGCATTGAAAATAATGGCATAAGATCTTTCACCAAAATAAAAAAGAAAAATCTTGTCCTCTAAAAAAATTTTTTTTTCAATTTTTTTTTTAAAAAGTAGATAACCAGTAGTTATTTGGCTATCTAGGAAACCAGTTGTTATCAGCGTGCATTTTCTTTGTGCTTTTGAGGATGCGAACTGAAAGCATAGTAAATTGGGCTAAAAAAATGCCTTGCCAGTAATTAAAAAAAAAAAATCTCCCTAAAATTATTTTCTAGTTATAAAACTAAAATGACCTTTTGATCACCTTCTGCAGGTGTCTACAGAGGTTGAACAACCATTTGAATTCTTATAAGGAATATTTGAAATAACATTCATACAATTAGAGAAATTATTAAAAAAGATGGTAACAAAAATGCAGTAAACAAAAATGCTACAACACTATTTTGGGGACTTAATAAATATATTGTTGTAGTGGGATATATTGTTATTAGCGAAGGCCTACATACTTTGGGAACACAATAAGATTTTTATTTAAACGTTATATATATATTAACTATAAATCTATATATATATTATATAAAAATTTAATTTGCAGAGTGGTTAAATATGAAATCAGATAGGAATGTTACATCTATGACTTCTTAAAAGATAAGGGAGAAAATCTTAAGAAGGGGTGGTCGTCTATGTACATCAAGGATGGGGTATTGAAATCTGAATACAAAATCCATTCACTGTGGTGAAAAGAAATAAAACATAATCAGCAGTGAGACTTCTCTTCTCAGAAAAGACGGAGGGGGGGGGGAGGCAAAATATGATAAAATAAGATTTTTTTTAACATTATTTGGAAAAAAATCGTTTTACAGGGGTTTATTACTTCAGAGAATATCGCAATATTCAGAGATGGATTACATTAATTCATATGCAAGTTCATCGTGACCCTGAAACATTACTGTAATAGGGGGAGTTATTGTTGTATCGGATATCGTAGTAGCGAGAGTTCACTGTATTTATAGTTTGTGAAGTGTACCAAATGAATACATAACATTTGCAGGTTTAAGTTATTTTTATAATGTAAAGTATTTCCGATTTTATTTATTCAATTTTTCACAATTGTAACTGCTTTTTTTTTTAACTAGCATTAATATTAGAAAGTTTATCTTGCTTTTAACAAAATAAAGATTAACATTAGTGTAAATACTTTTTTTTTATTGCGACTAAGTATTAACATGCTGTGAGTTAAAGTTTGTCCTAAATCAAGTGACTGTTCAATTAAATTTTTTTCTGGCAATTTTAATTTTTTTTTCAATTTAAACCTAATTTGATTTTCTGTTTTTAGCCATCTAAATCACAAAACAACTTACACAGATCCTAGATTGGCATTTGCTGTTGAAGAAAATGAATCTCCAACCGATATCAGACAGAGATTTGATGCAAGTACCTCTGCTTTACAAATATTGCATGGGAGAGATTTGGGTGGCAAAGTTGCTATAGTAACAGGAGCTAATTGTGGTATAGGTACTGTATTCTAGAATGAAATTCATTTCTGTATCATATTAAAAGTTTAGGGAAACAGGTAATAGTTAGCAATCTTTTTTTAAAAAAACACTTTGCTTAACTTTAAAAGTCATGATCATAAATTAAAGAATTATTTTAATTTAAAGTTGAGGAATGTGAATTATGTATATTAAAAAAATAGTTTAAGTAATTATTTTTTTTAAAAAATATGACATTTGACTATTTTTTTTTAAATAAAATAAAATAAGTTTAAAATTTTGGCAAATTAAAGATTAAGGTACTAGAGATGTTAATTTTATGCTAAGTTTAAGGCGATAGATATGTAAATTTCAAAGGAAATAATAAAAATAAAAAAAAACCTTTGATAATTAATTGTTTAGAAAAAAATGCCGTTAAAATTAGATAAAAATTATGATTAATACAAATTTAAGGTAATTGGGATGAAAATTACATAAAAATAAAGAAATAAACTAAATAGTTCAAATGAATCTTTCAAATCTCTTCAGAGGAGATTTCCGAAACTTTTTCTTAATATTTATACACAATGCAATTTTTTGAATGTTTAGAAAAAATATATTTTTTAATTCTCTAATTTTGTTCCTTTATATTTTTCAAATTTTTTCTCATGTTTTTAAATAAATAAAACAAAAATTTTAAAAAGAAATTCTGTTTTTTTAAGGTTTTGAAACTGCTAGATCCTTAGCTTATCATGGTTGTGAGGTTTACTTTGCTTGTAGAAGTAAGGATAAAGCTAAAGCTGCCATTGAACAAATATGCAAAGAAAGGGTTTGTAATAAATTTTATTTAAGTTTTTGTCTTGAGTAATAATTTTTCATAAATCAACTATGCTACACTTAGAACAACTGTGTTTTCTTTTCTTTTTTTTTTAATTTTTAAAACTAGCAGATACAAGCAATATACAAAACCTTTTTAAACAAAAGTTAGTTAAAGCAATTATTATTTTATATTTTTTTAAAATTTATTTTATACAGTGTTAAGATTTTTTTGTGGAAGAAACCTATTTCTTCCAGTGCCGCCAGAAAAGCAACTCAATTAATTGGAAGAAAAAAAAACTAAACAAAAAGAAACAGATACAATACCTATACAATATTTAAGAGATAAGTATAATAAAAATAGTTTTAATTTAAACAAATAATTAAATTTAGTACTATAAAATTAATTTTTCACTCCTACTTTCATTTAAAAAAAATTGACTAGTTTTATTATTTAAGAGTTGGTTTGAATATCCGTGTCACCAGCATTTGATTATAAAAATTAATATGATCAAAATTATTATATATATATAGATAGGAATGTTACATC